CGTATTGATGATTCCTGCGAAAAATGTGGAGGAGTTGGGTTTGAGCAAACAACCATGAATTGATCGTTCAATCTTCAACTACATTGACACTCCCCGGCAAAATACGGATCCATCCCTTTTTTCCATCACGACCAATACACGTTGACTTGGATGCCATTGCGAAAACCTGGGTCACAAGGACAGAGCTGAAATGGAAAACAAACAGAAAAGCCAACACACCACAAGCATACTCACAGCACAATCTCACACATCAATTACGACCTACACCTTCGAGTTAAAGGCATCCTCTTGATATCTTGCAACACAATCTCCACTTGCTAGAATGACCCTTGCAGAATACAACGTGACCTTGGCAGTACCTCACGATACTCTACGCTCATCCTCTTATCTACTCAATACCAACTACCACTGAAATCGCTTGTCACTCATTCTGCCTCAATTCTAGTAACGATGACGTATGCGAGCCTCAGTCGTTTACACTCTTTCTCCCCGGCGTGTGGGACCACAGCTAACAATTATCTCCGTGTGCATTTCATTCTCAGCAATAGCCTCCTCGGCGTATGCGACCCATCTGCTGTCTATAACATCAATCAATTCATTCACGGTCGTAGAAGACTAGAAACAACTTCAGAGGTACGCATGACGAAAACGTTATCGAAATTATGCAGTAACAACAAGGTACGAAAACAACGAGTGAACGCTGAATCCAAAACACCAATTGATTTGACACACCTCGCATATATACAAACGGTACACATAACCTCGAGGATTATGCATTGAAGAATCGCAGGACGTACACCAGTACGCCTGCAACCCTTCTCACGTTGACGATTGTAAGTTGTGGAATGTACGGAAACAAACAAGATTAACCAACAATTACAATAATTGGAACTCACACAATTATTTAACACAAACATATGTACAATCACTACATCAAATGTTGTGGATTCTGGCACGACAAACTACCCTTGAAGAACTGTAGGACTTACACCAGTACGCCTACATTCCTTCTCAGGTTGATGATCCAAGTGGAAGTCGTCCGGACACAAAGAGAATTACCAACAGCTAGATGACAGATGATATCAATTCAGTATATACAATATGAACATAGGTACAAAATCACACACCAAGCACATTGGACTGCTCATTGATGCGCTACCCTTGAAGAACTGTAGGACTTACATCAGTACGCCTACAAATCTTCTCAGGTTGATGATACAAATGGAAGACGTCCGGACACAAACAAAATTATCTACAAATAGATGAGAGATGTTACCAATCCAGTATATAACCCAAAAACATATATACAAAACAACACACCAAGTACGATGGACTGTGCTTCGACGTACTACTCTTGAAGAATTGTAGGTCTTACATCAGTACGCCTACAACCCTTCTCAGGTTGACGCTCTAGGTTGAAAAATTGTCGCGAAGTTCATTTGCTGACTTCCTTCTATCAGCTATATCCTCAAATCTAAACGGCAACACGCTCATGTCATTGTATCGTAGAACATAGATGACGAACAAACGCACGACGTATCTGGTCAACCAAGCGTAGAAACAGAGTAATTTACACCGAAGATAATAGCATTCAAATAGTAACTTGAAACCAGAAATGTCTTTATTCATGCAAGTCAATTTAACAATTACTCTCTCGTTTACACTTGGCTTATCCTCACTAAACTGAGCAATATCTTTCGTCTTTTCAAATGCACCAATACTCTCAGAGTCGTTGCACAAGATACTTGAGTTGATGGGCGTCTTTTCCATTGTAGATGACAACACCAACGACGACTGAGTGACACAAGTTGATGAAGTTAGCGGTGGATCAGAAGCTGTTGTTGCTCGACTTTCAGAAATTTGTCTACCTGCAAGACCACCACCACTGCTGTCCTTTACTATCAGCTCAGGTTTAGCAATAGCATCTGATGATAGGTGGGCTACATGCTGATCACTCACACTGACGGTCTGACAAGTATGCATGCCTTCTGCAACTGCATCTGCATTTATTTCCACTTCACGTTCAAGTTGTACAGAACTTTTGTTCAACTCAGCATTAGTAGACATTCTATCCTCTCATTATGACCAGCCAGATTGAGAGGTGCTCTATGATGATCATTGTCACAAATATCCCCTTTATCGTTGTCTAGCTGGTCGACTTCATCATTTTCAACCTCTTTTATAGCAGCAGTGGACAATTTGGGTTCTTCGTCACAAATCGTTAAAGGTTTTATACCCTTACTCTGACTAGTAATTCCTTGAAAACTTGTGGAGTCAGAACTGGACTCTGAAGCTGTAACTCTCCTCTCCTGCACAAACTGCGGTGTCGTCTCTGACACACTATTCAACAGTGATTTACCACTTTCAGCTACAGGCTTCTTTGTCGCATCATACTCATAAAACGTTTCGGAGTCAGAACTTGATGATGCTGACTTCACATTTAGCTCACCGCTAAACTTGGTCACTGATTCACAGTTCGCTTTTGTGTGCACTTCTTGCAAACGTGTAAAACACAACCGTGTTTGTCTTGCATCTTGTAACCTATTTGTTGGAGATGTCCCACGAACGCTGTTACACTCACTAAGTTTATATGGATTACTAGACACCATAAAGATTTCTCGATATCCGCCTCTCTGGGACCCTTTCGTCATAAATGACTGCGTTTTGCCCTCAGACTGCTCTATTCTAGACGTGGGACGCAATATACTGGCAAACCTGCTCATGGCTTGATTGACACCATCTTTTACTAGTTTCAGAAATCATCGAACTTTGGCTCAATACCTTCATCCTATATACGAGAGCTTATCTTCGCCAACATTTTTTGCGGTCGAGTAGGGAGGCGTCTCGCTATTACTTCTAGGACAAAACTCGAGTTGAGATCACTCATGCAATTCATCGAAATCAGTGCATTCTTGTAAGTCAACAGATTATCCAAAACACAGAGAGTCCCTTGGAGTCATCTTGTAACTGACTACCATTACCTTTATCAGCCTCGAATAATTTCCCTACAAACATCGAATGTCTACCGAACCTTTGACGCAGTAGACTCATAGGCTCAGAGCATCCTTCGTTAGGGGAATGAACTTACAGCACTGTATAGCTCTTGAAGCAACTCCAGTGCAGTACCTCAACAAACACATCAACTTCATTTCATCATTTAATAAAAAACTACTCAACATGATCTCAAACTCCTTTACAAACCGCGGATAGTCAGCTGGGTTTCCGTCGAAACATTTTAAGGCAGTTTAAAATTCCTATTTTCCGTAGACGGCGGACCATGAACAACAGACTCATCGTGCTGAGCATCATACATATCGTTACAATTAACAAGCAACTCAGCATTTTTTATTTTCCTGCCTGCTTCCAAGACGATTTGTCCCTTCTTTGACCCAGGCATCACTGAAATTGACCAAAAATTCCAGAAAAGTTCTTGATAATACTTGTCCAAAGAAGACTTGCAGACACCAGGAAAGACGAACATAAACTATCAGAAACTGTCAGCCAACTCTCATAATCTGTCAATGTCCAGCTCTTACTGCGATGGACCTCACGCTGTCCCTCGAAGACTTTCAGAAACAATTTGTAATAACCAACGCGAAAAACCAGAACACAGATTGGCGACACGAGAATCCTTTATTCTTGCGCCAATATGTAACCAACAATAAGGTTATGACACAAAATTTCTGATAGTTTTTTATCTTCTTCTGAACAGCGAATGATGAGACGATGACTGCCGTATTGATGACTCCCGCGAAAAATATGGAGGAGTTGGGTTTGAGCAAACAACCATGAATTGATCGTTCAATCTTCAACTACATTGACAAGTGATCTCTACCACTGCACTGCACTTGTGACAGTCAATAGAATCACTGAAGTCTTTTATCCCTGGAGTCAACTAAGCAGACGACGGTATAATCTAATAAAGTTTAAATATTTTTTATACATTCAATCCAAATTATACCGCACAATGCAGCCCAACTTTATATGAAATCAACCGATATATAACCTTTCAAGGAACGAAAATTCCTATCCAAGCACATATACGGTGAAAAATGCATCTACAACACATCTTCCAATCTCTCTGGTACCCTGTAAACATTTTCGGGTGATTTCCATGTGCTGATATCATTTATTGCCAAATAATTCTCCGTTCTAAATAAAAGTAGACTGTACAGTAGACTGTATAGAGATATGTGGAGTATTTGTTGTCAAAAAGTGAAGCTTCCAAATAGGCTAGACTGTTTCTGCAGATGATGTTACCCTCCAAATGTCCCATTGCGCTCATTGTAGCAGTATTTCAACCCAGTTCTCCGGAAACGTAAGCCACTGCGAGAAGCATGCCAGGAATGTGCCGCTGTCAGATCACATGACGCGGACACCCACATGACATGTCAGAAAATGAGAGTTCCAATCAACCCATAAGGCAGACCACAGTTCTCTTAATAATTACCCATAAAATTTTCCCGGAGAAATTTCGAGCGGCCAAATAAGTATAGTCCTAATTTTTAACAGGAATGTCTATACAGCGCTAATACTTGGTCCACACTTTGCGAGAGGGTTAATGGAAGCACTCCCCAACCTCTCTCCTTGCTGTCTTGAAACAGAAGACTAGAGTGCAAGTCGGCAGGCCCGAGAGAATAAGCAACACTGAACACTGACAGACAGTGAACATACTAACAAAGTAATACCGAAAAATTTTGCTGATGGATATAAATTTGGCATAGACTGAGGATAAGGTTGATTGGCGTCACGTACTGTACTTTTAGGGAGAATATGGGTGAAGAACAGGAAATTAGACATCCTTAGTAATGTGCAGAATATCAAGACAAGACATCTTGTGGAAAAAATTGGAGGCGGCTGAATATGAGGACTAAAAACATAACAAAATGCATATGACAAATACAGTAGTTTCACACTCAGTTCACATTTACTTCTAGTAATTTGACTTTTCTTTTACTGCACCGAAAAGGTAGAATGTATTAAATACCGCAAAAAGTGTTGTTGTCTCCAAGGTGTTTACAGAATTTTTAGTTGGTACATTTCGAAGTGAACTTTAAGTCAGTTTTTTTCCAAATGATTCAATGTATCGAAAGTTTTTTGATAAAAAGACTTTATATATTGCGATTTTCAATTAAATTCCTAGATTATTGAAATTACAGGCCTGTTAAGGGATTCCTTTAACGTTATTTAATGAGCGAAAATTAGGTTTTTCACTGCATTCTGAATTCAAATTATCTGCATTGCCGAAGTTTTGGTAACTCAAATAGAAAATTCAGGCCTCAAGTTCTGAATTGAGTCTTTTCGTTCTGAAGTCATGTTAGCCAGTGTCGAATATGTGGTGTGATGTTTGAAACAACGCCGATAGGCTAATCCAGTAAGTTCTGATCTGCTCCTGAAAATGCTTAGAAAAAGATCAGGGTCAGTCATGCTGATAACTAGTCATTAGTTAGAGTCTGTGCGGATAGCCAAACCACTCCCAATATCCAATATCCTGATTACGAGCTAGTATAAACCAGTGATTTCTTTGAGCTCGCTTCTTGATTGTGAGGTAGAGGTTCCAGATCTTCGGTGAGATTCTGCGTAGTAAGTCCCGCCACTCGACTGATTTAGCTCTGGTAGACTCCAGGAGGAGTGGTGCGGGGATTGGTCGAGATGTGGTTTGTAGTATGCAGTATGTTAGGACTGTATTGCTGCTGTGAATGGAGTTTGACCTAACTCCCGTTGGTCATTCGGTGTAGTCATAAAAGCAGAATACTAGTAATAATAATAAGAATAAAAATAATGGGTTGTAGCGTAGATAATATAGGTTGAGATAAGTGGAATAATAAAGGTGACCTAAGGAAAAGATAGAGTAAGAGAAGGCAGAATAGGTCGTGGGGATTTAGTTTGTACGCTTATCCATTGACAGTGTGGTTTCAAGTTTTATGAGGATAAGTCATTGGGACACAAACCTTGCATTTCTGCATGATTATCTAGCTTCCGCTTAAAAATCTCCAGAGAAGGCGCTGTAGTCACGGCCGCCGGTAAAGCGTTCCAGAGACGGCAAACACGAAACGAAAAGAAATGTGATCGCACTCGAGTCTTTGGTCTCAGGTGTGCTATCCTTAGCGGGTTACCTCGTGGAAGCCTATAGTCACTTAATGGCAGGATGCTTTTATTTGGGTGGGCCTGGTCATTTAGGATTTGGTAGACGGTGATGAGGTCTCAAAACATATTCAGAATTTACTTACTATAGAATGTTAGAGGTAACTCAGAGTTAGCGAGACTTACTAAACTAAAGTAAAGTAAAGTAAGTCTCGCTAACTCTGAGTTACCTCTAACATTCTATAGTAAGTAAATTCTGAATATGTTTTGAGACCTCATCACCGTCTACCAAATCCTAAATGACCAGGCCCACCCAAATAAAAGCATCCTGCCATTAAGTGACTATAGGCTTCCACGAGGTAACCCGCTAAGGATAGCACACCTGAGACCAAAGACTCGAGTGCGATCACATTAGCATTAAAGTAAGCTTGGACTTGCATGCAGAGATCGGTTGTTGTTGTTATTAGTTTCACTATGAACAATTTCAGGTATTACCTCACTTTTCACCTTCATTTGTTCAGTCCAATATAATTTTGGCAATGCCGTTTTATCGCTATTATGTCTTAACGTTATCAACTCTTTGAAGTGTTAAAACTTTTTAACATTTTGCCTGTCAGTTTATCTTCTTTCATGATAAAGCCTCTAGTTATTTCTCATCTAACTCAGTGATTGTGTACACTGTGAATAAACATCAAAGAATTTATTACATGTTTACACTTTTTAGTAAACAACATATTCGTCAAGCATTTAAGTCAACTGGATGTCAGATGATATCACAGTAAATCATTAACGACATTTTCAGATCATGACCCTGCTTCTTAATTCCTTATTAACTTGTACTGATCTTGACTGCCAACAAATAATATTGCCTGCATGCTGCTTGTGCGAAAATAGAAATGTTTATTACAATTTAGCTTAAATTCATATTTCTTTGGAATCCTGTGACTTGGTTTAGCTTTTTTTGTATTAGTCGTATGTACAAGTTAAATCAAAACACTGTACAAGAACGAAGCAATAATCGTCCTCTTTTTGTTTGGTCATGGCCATTTTACAGCTTAATTTTACTCATATGACAAACGTAACCAGCCTATCGTCGCTAGTATCTCACAAATGTTCCATATAATGCATAAGATAAAAACAGCAACTTTGAACACACTAGTTGCCTGACTAAGACACAATACAACACTGAAACATCTTATGTGGGTGTGGTTGAGTAAACCGTTTGCTGCGGTGGATCATATACTGTTAACAACACAAAAGTCAGTCAGTGAATTGCTTATGAGTAACATTAAAGCTGGATTATATTTAGGTGATATTTTATTTAACAGGTTATAATTTTTCAAATAAAGCCTCTGAATATAACTTCAACTACAACAGCTGACCCGCTCGCCAATAAGTTAAATAAATGTAGTAAAGAGAACTTTGATAAAAATTGTTAATTCACAATGCTCTACTACTTTCGCTGATCGACACTGCTAAATCAGTTTCGTAATTCATTTAGCCAATAGCATTTACAACTGATCTCTTATCTTTTATTATCCTGCAAATGAACCGGATATTGAGGTAAACGTCAGTGCTTTTAAAAGCTGTATTGTCCTTTAAGTGTAAAAGTTTATTCACGAGTAGTATAAAAGTAATCAAAATGTTTTACATATCAAGATTGTTAACTCTTCTTATAAGTAATTACCAAGTGATTAGGTCAAATTGTAGGGTCGATTAGCATTCTTGGTCTAAGTCGGATTTTCAAACGTTAATCTGATTTTTAACGTTCGTTGTTCTCATTGTACTCATGAACTGATTTAATCGTTGATTCGTTCGTACTGTGGTTGAGCCAAATTAAAAATTTTTAAAGGTTTAACTTCATACTTGGCTTTTGATGCGAGTAAGTTTCTCATGTAGTCTCAAACTGATAACTTCCTCATTCTTTTAGCTTTGAGATTTTTATTTAAATCACTTTGAATTTTCACACTGCACTTACTGGAGGGAACGTTTAACTCACTATGCCTGACACAGTGACAGTTGTGCATACACGTGTTGTCAATAGTATTTAAGTCATTCACACAAGTCGGAAAGTAACAGATAATAGCAGATTTAATTACCGTGTTTTACCAACAAGTCAGTTCAGCAGATACATACCAATAAATAATTCACTAACTGTTCAGCCAGTTAAAAGTTAACTCTATAAATACTTATAAATTCACTTGTCTCTGAAGGTTGACTGTCTAAATTGACCAAAGATCAGCTACTACGCAATAACATTTACAATCTAATTGTGAATTTATTAGACCTGGTCTTAGTTAGACACGAAGAGATCCCAGAAACAAAATCTATTGACATTTTGATACCCATCAATCATATCAAGCTACAATTACAAAAGATTCCTTTCTTTAACTTGCCGTCTGCACATTTTTTTTTCCTCTGAAACGTCTCTATTACACCAATTTTGCTTTTTACTGGCCATTACAGAAACCAACTTTCCCTCTTTTCCTGTTAATCGGCAAACTACTTTATTAGTTATTAAAGTAGTTTCGTCTAAACTATGGCTTCGCATACACTAAAGTGTAATCCAGATTCAAAAGTTCATGAACAAAGGTTAGTTGAAATCAGTGCATTATCGATTGGTGTTGTGTTTGTTCTCAAATTAATTTTGAAAAAATACGATCATCTGAAGTGACTAATCTTGAGATAGTTGGTAACAAACAAATACTATTTCAGATGTTTCTAAACTGTGTAGAGTTTACTTTGTGTAACTAGGTAATTGTGTGAGTGTTTGTTTAATTGGGGCATACTTAATTTATAATCACTGAGTGAAATTCAAGATAGCATTCGCCTGCCTTATCTGTGCAATATAGTTTAGACTGTACAAATTGAGAATGAGTTTGTCTAAAGAAAAAAAACGTTTTGGAGGTGCTGAGTTGTTGAAAGTACTGGACTATCATTTTGACCTTGTTTGAGGCATTTAAGCAGTGTGCACAGACGCTTCATCAGTCAAAGGTCCCGAGTTAGAGCCCTGGTGGGGTCAAAGATAAGCACTACAGAAAAGACATGATATCGAAGGAAACGACTGTTCGGTGACACGGAGTCTTCGTCTGTCCCCTAATTATCGTTGGTTAGTGATGAAATCTACTTTGAAGCATAATTTTGGTGATTTCATTTTTGCCTTATTCAGGAATGTATGAGTGCTTTTCATTATCTGATGATTATCAATAGCCTCAATGATCTGAAACCATTCAGTAGGATATTATAATTTTTATTTTACACTTACTTCATAATTACTAATATTTAGGCGTACAATTTATACATTTTATGAAGTCTCCGAAGTACTTTAAAATATTTGACTTACTAGCAAACAGAAACACGATGATAAAAATATATATGCTCTAATTGACACTTTTTGTAAGGCCAGTTAGATAGCGAAATACGACTAGCATACTTTATATTATTTCTGTTGAATACTGACTAAAAGTGATAGTAATCATTTGCCTGTCAGTATTAAGTTAACTTTGTAGATGGTTGATTGGTTAAAGTTAACTTTATTTTTGGTTACTTTTTTCACCATTAAGTGATTACAGTTTAAAACTAACAGTGAAGCTATACTGAATGAGATGGCTAGGACATGTGTTAAGCACACTAGATCGTTGCCTTTTTCTTTGGACAATGTTAACTTACATACAATTAGGTTGAAAAAGAATAAGGAATAGTCTGATCAAATCACGAGATCAGTCAATCAAGTCTTTAACTGCTGGTTTGAGCCCAACAAGTAGAGAGGTGTCCATTGTCCTATGTCTTGCAGACGCAAAGAACCAGCAAATAGGGACTGTTGCTGATGTAACTCGAAATCGCTTACAATGGTGTAGATGCGTTCGCTCTCTCTCTCTCTCTCTAATTTCCCAGATTTATGGAATCATCATGATTTTCTGTGTAATTGTTCTTTCTCCCCGTGTATTTCTGCTCATTATGATTCTTTTGAATTTTTTTCCTTTTTGTCTACCTTTCTGTGCTATATGGAGGGTGGCACCTTGAAGTGAAGCAGTTTTGTGTAAATTTCTGTGTTTTAAACAGTCAGCAGTCTCATAGGTTAGTTCCAACCAGACTGGTAACTTACCAGCCGATTGTTTGAACTTTGTCTTAACTCAAATTTCCGTCTTACTTATAATCACTACATTATTGTGTATAGACTATATGTATGCGTAACTAACAAGCTTTGTTTTTGTTTTCTAAATGAAAAACATCGCATATGCCAGTAATCGTCCAAAGTTTATGCATCAGCACACCTTGAAATTTTCTAAGCACTATCCTATAATGGATGATCCTATTGAAGAGTGTAAACAGCGTTTAGTTGAAGCGACAGCAGAATTAAAAGAAAAGAGAAAAGTATTCGCTGTAAGTTTTAAAATAAATATTTGCATTTATATATATCTGCTTTTCTTTCTTTTTTTTTCTATATTTTTAAGAAAAAAATTGTAAAATCTGATGATTTATTAATATATTAACTGTACATTTTACTGAAATTAATCACTTTCAGAAGTTATTCATTTCTTTTCTACATATGTTCAAATATGCACTAGGTCTTACAAATTATATAATTTATCAGAACTAATGAAAAATAAAAAGCTGGATTTGGATGCTTGAACTGATTAGTTTGTCTGATCTGAATCTAACTAACAAAGTAAATGGTTACAGGATGTCATCATGAGCTGACTTGGGTTGGAAAACCTGGGACAGCTGTTCCGTCCTGGCCGATGATCTGTGATACGGACGAATGCTATGGCAATTTAGTGTTTAGACCATTTAGATCATGGTTAAAAAGCAATTTTTCATATTAATATGTGATAATAATTTCTCTTGCTTTCTAGGTTGCCAGTTAGAGTGTTGAGTTCATCATATACTACGATGAGAATAATTTGTGTTTCTGAAAGAAATTGTGTTGAAATTTCACATGGAAATATTTAAATTGCAAATAACACGTCTGATTTCATCTTCAGACTTATCGTAGTATTCATATGACCGGCCTGGATAAGTGAAGAACTATAGAGAACTGTTAAATTTTGATCGCTTTTAAGACCATACTTGTAGGCAGCTGAAGAATCGGTTGAATGACTTTATTTTATTATAGAGTCAAAAGCGGAATCATTGTGTCTCAATTTTCACATTCTGTTATTCAAAATAAGAGTCTAGCTTAATGGTCTGTCAGTCGATTCCTGGTACAACCCATCGCTACCTACTAAATTGATGTACTCCACAAGTCAAAAGGTTAAAACCGATTAAATTGACAAAAACTCAGTTCTTGAAATGGTATGAAAATACAACATAAACCCGGAAATTTTCAGGCAGTTTTAAGACAAATTCCACCAGACTGAAAGATGTATCAAGATATCATCTACCAGAGTTATTTAAAAAAAGTATAAATTTGACATGTGATTCAGCTGTGCAGACTTGTAGGGAAATGCGGTTGACTAAATTTATTCTGATTGTATAATTCATGAATGATTTCGATCCGGATATCAATGGGAACAAAACGCCTTGTTCAACGAAAAGACTCTTTTCGGTGAATTCATTTTCCTTTTTAGCTGTAGGATCGCATTTATAGACAATCTCTTTTTTTCATGAAAGAGGGCAGTAACAACAGTGATGAGTTGTCACAATCATAGTTGTTCCTATAGATTAGTACATAAGAGCAGTTGAATAAATGTACTAGGGTTGGGTAATAAGATGATGAATCTAATGAATAGGCGTCGGTGGCACAGCGGTAGAACGCTCGTCAGCAACGTATGTCGTCCGGGATTCGACCCTCGGCCAATACACCCCCTTTTACCTATCTAAGCTAGTAATAAGGCCGGCAACGAGAGGAGGTTGGGAATGAGACTAGCAACCTTATTCCGTAAAAATTAACACCACTGCTACTGAAACTTCCCAGCTGTAGCTTGAAGCCCTGAGTTCCACTGGGAACGTAAAGGAATAAAATAATAAAAAAAATAATAAATTTAATGAGTGAATTGTGACCAAAATACACGTGTAAACAGACGAAAATATGGAATTTTTTAGAGACCTACACGCATACAAGAGTTATAAGGAGTTAGAAAAACAAGCAAACAAATATCAAGTGAGTAGACATCAACAACAATGCTTTTACCATGATAGTAGAAGTGATTGAATGATTTTCTTTTGTGTATAAATAACTCCGGTTTCTCCAACTGAATAGCTAAGGCTTCAGTAATACAAAGGAGATGGAGTTGTATTGCCTTTGGTAGGTTATTCTTCACTTTGATAATTACTTTGAAGGAGGCGTTTGTTGAGATGGAATGATCAGTGTTGATAGGGTGTTCCATTATCGCACTTCTTATAGAGAAGTCATCACTACGTCTCTACAACCATACGATGGGATTGTATTCTTCAAACCTTTTAGACAGGATACACTTTGTACGTAATTCTACTACACTTATTCAATTCCTCTTACACACTGACTAATACTGTAACAGCAAAAGGCAAGACATGGAAGCAAAAGTATATTTTCCATTGGTCAAATCGCTGTTTATGCATATACACTTTATATTGTTCAACCACTCACTGAGCGTGTGATTTTGGTTTACATTAAACGACATGAAATAGAATGTTCAAATATAAATCATATTTTTTGCTGATGCAGTATTGAACCGTGGGTGTATGTGAGAATAATATTCCATTGGAACACATTGTCTGCATCACACCACCACAATAATAATAACAACTATGATTATAACAACTTATCACTGCTGTTACTATCCTCTTTCATAAAAAAGGGATTGCGTATAAATGCCATCGTACAGCGAAAAAGGAAAGTGAATCCGCCGAAAACAGCCTTTTCGCTGAACTACATGTTGTATTTTCACTAATGACTATTTAAATCAATAAAAATTGTCTTCAACTGTGCAGAACAGTAATTTTATGTCTTACTGAATTCTGTAAGAACTACTACATTGATTCACCATCACCATTATCGTAAGTATGTTTAAAAAAATTAAAGACAGTCTTTAAGAAGTTGGTTTATTTGCAGTTCAGATTTTATCCATCTACAATCACTGCATGATTATATATATATATATATATATATATATATATATATATATATATATATATATATATATATATATATATATATATATATATATATATATATATATATATACCATTATCACTAGTATTCAGTATTATTCCTCAATGAATCAAGTTCTAGTTGTAATTGCCTACATATATTGTTATCATTATTTAATAATTTAGGAGAAAATGGCGAAATCCCGAGAACAACGTGTTCTATTACAGCATGATGTAAATGCTTTAGAAGAACGGAAATTGAAGTGTCAAAGTTTTATTAGAGATAATGATGCGAAGCGTTGGAGAGCTCTGCAGAAATTCTGCACAGATAATCATTTGTGTACAGTTAAAAAGAAAGAACGACAGAATTTAATTAGTGAATTAAGAAAAGCCAAAGAACTGTAAGTATTTTTGTGAAAAAATTAAAAGATTATTACTGTTATTATTATTATTATTATTCTGATTCCTCTCATGCTTTCCGAGTGGAACATGAAACTTCGATAGCACATATCCACTCCACTTAGCTCCCGAGCTGGCTTCACTAATGTCCACGATCAGTTTGTCGCTTCACACTCTGCTTTCACTCAACAACCTAGTGTGTTATGTCACCTGAATGTCTCCTTGGCATATGCTCAATCCACTTCCATTTCTTTCTACATGTTTGTTTGTCAATAGATTGGTACACCGTAGTAGAGAGCAGCCAACTAGTAGCGACGCAGAATAAGACTGTACAATTATGGTCTTGTCGAAGGCTAGAATAAAAGTTCGGTCCTCCTAAAAACTGATATAAAATCACCTGGTCAGTGGTTATTTCACTATATAAATACTTAAACAATAGAGTAATAATAATAAATTGTTTTCAAGAGTTGTTTTGTAGGGAATTGACTTGATTCAAGTTTGACCATGGATTGACATCAGTTAGGGACCATTAAGAACCACCAAGGAGTTGTGGACAGGTGTCTCCCCTTAGTCGTGACCAGTCGAATCCACCTTGCCAGTAGTGAAGACAAATACTTGCCACGGATGACATTCGCCGGTTGTCGCAGTGAAATTACAAATTCGTAGAAGTTAGAATTCATGGGTTGACTATTGAGTCGGGTCCCATTGGCTAAAATATCTTCGATTTCGCCTTCTAACCACGAGGTCCTGGGTTTGAACCCTGGTAGTAGGCGCCTGCTGCACATCACTCCAGAACGACAGCAAAACAGCTGTCATTTACTCCATGGTTTACAATGGTTCTATAACTGATATCGATCCGTGGTCAAACTTCAAATAAAACTTTTCCCTGATTCATATGATAAGCGTCCGTTAGATTATTTGATAAGTGAATTAGAAAAGCCTTTACAGAATGGGAAAAATTCATTTTATAACGTATAAACTTAGCCTCGTTTAACGGTGACATAACACAACACCGGATTCCTTCAAGATGGTGAATAGATAAAGCGCTTTACTGCTAAATCAAATCTTTGAAGTTGTCATCATCTTGGTCAGCATTCACTAATCTTCTACTCCTCAAGATTTACCATCGTTTTTACAACGTAATCCAGTGTTTATATCCAACTACTCTCGTATAAATTAGTATCTTTATTACTATCTATTTAGTGCACTTTAGGCTGGATACAGTTCCCGCTTAGGTTCTTCATTGTTGTACTGGTTCATCTGTTTCACTACACCTGTCTCCTCTATTAACTTTCAGGTGTCCGTAGATATCCATTCATTTTCTTGGTTCTTCTTCCCCTCTTGAACGAATATAAAGGTTTCCTAAAACATAAATTTCAGAAAGTTCCAAAGTTATTCACACACGTCTCTCCAGTGATGTTGTTTAGTGCCTCCGACTGTTTCTTGATAAGTTCAGTGGTAGTGTCTTTTGTAGATTCGTTTTTAGGTGTTAAACTTGAATTGTGATCTGCTTCCAGCTGCTCTGAAGGCTCTCAACTTGACCTTGATCATCCATGCAATAGATTATGGTCCTAGCACAAATCTGCTCCTGTATGTCGTTTTCTGTTCAGCAGTCCGCATATTTACTGTCTTCAGATCCAGTTACTAAAACATTAAAGGCTCAGAAATTTGAGGAGATTTCTCCGTCCTCATTCATTCCGTCAAAGGCATCCCAACCAGTCACGAGTTCTTTTCATGTGTTGACTGCGCCCAGTTCAGCATTCATATCGCCCACTAAGGTTTCGACGTCACCATTCGGTGTTAGTCTTGCCGACTATTGCTCGAGGTCGTATGTAGAGGCCTTCTGTATTCTGCTGATTTCCATTGTTTGTAGAAGTGTGCGCAGTATTGTATAGTTGTAACCATCCTCCCTTTCCAGTGGAATCTTGGTGTTGATATCCTCAAGGAGATTGGTTCCCACTGAAAAAAAGAGACTATGGATGTTGTTGGTGACATCATGGTGGCCACTCCCTCAGTGTACTGATGGTTGTCGTTCGGGTAACTGAAGTAGGTTATTGATAATTCTGACAGTTCCTAACTATTTAATCTCCCCTCACAGATTCCTACATGATCTGTGCCATATCTTCTCATCTCTTTCAAAGTCTCATCAGTATTTTCAGCTACAAACGTCGTGTGAACATTCCATTTCACCATCCTCATTTTCGCTTTCATTGAAAAAAGTCATATTCTCTGTCTGGTTTCCCGGAGAAATTCACCAGCCCACATCACCTTCTCTCGAATTCCACCAAAGAATCGGCTCAACTTTCAACCATATTTTATGCATTGAAGTTTCTGTAGTGATGTCTCCAGAGTAGGACCGCTGTCATCACCTCCAACCTTTCCCATTTCTCCGGGCTAAAGACCAGCTGGTGAAATGGTGAATTAGTAAAATAGGTGAGGTTATATTAACAACATATTCCTGTGCTTGTATCCATCCACTCTCACAGTAATCACTATCTCAATTAATCTATTTGTTATCATTGAAATCTTCCACTTTGTCTAAACAAACCCTCATATTACCACTTCCGCTTATATCTGAATTGATCTCCACCTACACTGTAACTGACAATGTCTCTACTTCGATTGTGATTTTATCACACCAACCTCTTGCATTATTTGGACATCCTGTTCACTTTTGACTGATTTTATGTTACGCTTATCAAAACAAACTGGGTATTCAGCTGTAGTATATCTGTATTATTTCACAGTGATCACAATTGTGTAATCAAGTGTTCATGTTGTATACATGTAATGAAAACCGTGTGAAAGAAAAATGATTTCATGTGATTCTGTGAAAATTGCTCTCATTGATATTGATCAAGTTTATCAAGGGAATGCATTGCATGAACTTCATCTGGTCATGTTACTACGGGTATTCTGTTGGCTAGTTGACGTTTCCTAGTCAAAGTGGACCGCATATGTGTAAAGTTTCAAACCAGGTCATTTCAGTTATGGATTTAGACTGTAACACATAAATTCAATAGAACTGACGCTGTTGTATTTTGAATTGTGTAGTGCCGTTTGTGTACAGGTGGTAGAAGTATTATGAGTAGTGGTAGTAGTAGTCGTATATTTACTCACTTCGCGCAGTAGACTCTCTTCCGTGTTTGACCCTTCTGAACTATTTCGGTTCAGAATGCTGACCTACATCATTTTCACCTGATCATTTGATTCCCTTTTACTCTAAAAGTGTTGGTAATGGACTAATTTCAGTTGTATTGGTCATCATCAGTTCTTTCAGGATATTTTGAGTTTAGGTATATAATAGTGTGAAATTAAATTCCACTTAGAAGGGCATATTGCCTGTAGGACTATTGGAAATTATACCTTTGGCAGAAAGCAGTTATTATTATTATTATACCTCATCCAGACGACTGTTTCTTCATGACTGTCTATTCCTCATCAGAACGGACATTAATTGAAGGAGTAGAATAATGCATTTGGGAAGTTTTTATCAAAATCAGCTGAGAATCACTTATGATTTATTATTTTTCTTCTATCCTCAATAATTTGATAGTAACGTGTTTGTAGTAAAACACAATGGTTCTTAGTTGCATTCTTCAGACAACTGTTATTGGGTATTATTACTGGATGGGTTTTAAAATACATTACTATATATCTGTAGTATCTTTTTCATTATATTCCCGATTAATCGAGATGCACTGTGGCAACAAAATAACCCTAATAATTTCGGGGCTTTCTGAGTGATTTATGTCTCATGCCTCAAATATCCGAAGATTTAAGAGCCGTAAGCAACTACGTGTAGGAAGCACACATGAGGATCTGAATACCAGCCAATATCGAGAAAGAGTGACGGTCATTTGTCACTATTAAATCAGTTCGGAGACTGGCACCACTGAACACAAGAAAATGTCCGTATTTTCAGCAGTAATGTTAAGTTAGTGCTTGTAGGTGTCGCCAAAACTTGGCAATAGTGTCACGGAGAGTATTTCTCACAGGCTACTGCAGACTTTTATGAAAAGCCACCTTTTTTGTTTCGATAGAGAAGACCACACTGCCAGTCAGGAGACCAGAAAAAAATGAGTGGGAGGGAACTGTGGAAGTCTAGGAACCAGGTGACAACCTTTCACACAGAAGGAATGGGCTGTGTGTACGCTGGGGAGAGGGCTGAGTGACGTTACACACCAGGATCTTCAGTGGAACGTGAATGTCAAGCGATGAACTGAGTACTCAAGTGTGACAAGGAGGTGACCATATGAGGGAGAGACGAAGGCTTGTATGAATTTATGAAGCCTGATGAAAATTACTACAGGGAACGAAGGGGAACAGAGATGTTCTTCTGATGTCCCATGTATAATATCATAGTCGTTGATATAGGTGATTGGAGGCAATCGTTGGGAAGCTCTACCTGATGCAGTTTTTGTGCTTGTTGGCATTCACCAGTCAGTTAGACGTATATGCAATCTTGAAAGGACTCATATCCCTTCTGAGATTCGAACCCGCGTTAACCAATGATGCAGTCAGAGACGTTACCACTGAGCTTTTTGGACTGGCGATTGACTTTTACGACTGTACTAGATACTTTAAATGAAGTTTTAATTGATGAATATTCCCTATCTTGACATTAATAAAAACAAAAAACGCATTTCAGCGGAGAGTTTCTTTTCACTTACCTATTCTATCGCAATTATATTTAATTATTCTTGTATGTGTTTGTACATTAATTTTGTCAGACAAGAATAAAAATTAGTTAGGGTTGTTATTAATTTTATCAAAATATTTCAAAAAATGTAACGAATAATCAAACTGTAACTAAATGTGTAAAGATCACTAAGGTGGTAATCGTGAGGAGTTGTCGAAATATCGTTGTTCATGTTGGTAAATGCATGAGAGAAGTTGAATAAATGTATTTTGGTTCAATAATAAGATGAGTAATTTAATGAGTGAGTTTTAATTACGATGTATGGAATTATGTGAGAATTCTGAAGAAACACAAAAGTTATAAGGAGTTAGAGAAGCAGGTTACACAAAAATAAAGTCAGTAGAAGTCAAAACATCGATGGCACAGTGATTAAGACGCTCGCCGACCATGCAAATGGTCATGGGTTCGATCCCCGGCCGATGCACCTTTTTACCGTGCTAAACGAGAAATAATGCTGGTAAAGAGGAAAGGTTGGGCATGAGGCTAGCAACCCCATCCTGTAAAATTAAACACTGCAAGGGGAACTTCAAGTCACTAGCTTGAGGCCCTATGTTCCACTGGGAACGTGAAGGAAATAAAAAGAAGTCAATACGGTCGTTGACATGATAGTAGCAGTGGTTGAATGATTTTCTTTTGTATACATAACTCTGGCTTTCCTAAATGGATGGCTAAAGCTTCAGTAATACAAAGGAGACGAAATCCTATTACCTTGGCAGGCTATTCTTCACTTTGATAATTACTTTGAAGGATGCGTTTGTTGAGATGGAATGACCAATGTTGACAAGGTGCTCGATTATCCCACTCCTTATAGAGCCACTACTACTTTTTTTGAAGCTGTGTGTAATAGTGTTCTCGACAAAGCTAGGGTGCACATACATGTAAAAATAATTATATATAATTGTGATTGAACAGCTAAGTGGAAAAAGTCGCCGAGAAGACACGCTTTATTGAATTGCTTGTTTTGTTCTCACTTTGACTGAATACAAGTTGGCAACTAGTGTCATGCGTCTAGTCCTTTGTTCAGTGTAAACTGAATTTTACCAATCAAGTTTGCAATGCGACCAGCATCAAGCTAGGTGGCTTGCCATTATTGTACACTGTGAATTGCTCATATTAGTTTCCCATCAAAATATAATAGCATGAAAATATAATTTATAGAATTACTCAGTTTTCAATTCCCTTTTTTTAATTAATAAACTAATTTAGTTATGCGTCCTTGCTAGCTAAAGTCGCTAATTTGAAGAAATATGAAACGTACTTACAAACAGTAGTTGATTCGTTACCTAAAGGTTAGTTCAGTTATTATTATATATTCAAAAGACTGATTACTGAACAAAGAATATTCTTTTCGATAACTCCCTCTTCATAAGGTTATGCGTTCATAATAATAGTGAATGAATTAGTGTTATTCACAACATCAATGTTGATTAAATAACATCGAATCAATAATAATAAAAATAATAATACCAATGGATTAAAGTTCGATGGTATCAACATAACACCCTACTGAATATCAGAGAAATTAGGAATAAAAATAATACTAATTGTGAATTTATAGTCTCTACTGAAGGCCGGCCAGGGGAGTAGTAGTGACTGGACCATTGCTCTAGGATCTAGAATTTTCTTGTTTGGGCACATCTCTCATTGTGGTGAAATGAAGTTGTAGTAAAAACCACCAACAGCTCGATATTAGACCACCTGGTCCAAACCAACAACAAACCCATCATTAACGAATCCTTCTCCATAATCTACAGCGTACCAAATAAATTACCAAAAATATGCAGGTACTCCATACTCCAAACAGCAGAGGATATCGCGATTCGCGTGAAACAACCAGTGCTTTGTGTGCAAAAGAAGCAAGTCCAGCCACTACTACTAACCTGGCCGGCCTTCAGTAGAGACTACAAATTCATGAATTCGTATTATTATCTTTCCTAATTCTTCTAATATTCAGTATAGTGTTATGTTGATGCTATCGAATTGTAATCCATTGATATTATTATTTTTATTATTATTGATTCGATGTTATTTAATCAACATTGATGTTGTGAATAACACTAATTCATTCACTATTATTATGAACGCATAACTGTAGAACCTTATGAAGAGGGAGTTATCGAAAAGAATATTCTTTGTTCAGTAACTATTTTTTTGAAAAAATTTTAATGGGCATTTTTAATCAGTTATTAAAATTATGTATACTACTTCTAATGACAATGGTTTGTACTATATTTTCCCCAATAAATTTCACCTCCGTGAATGAAAATTTCTGATGTTAGGACTTTTACTAAGATAAGCTCATGGAATCTTTCTTACTGTTCGAATAACACACATTAGATAAGGTGATGGTTAAAGACAGAGAACCACTGGAAAACCTGGGAGTGCTGGACAGCTGTTTCGTACTAGTTTGGGACTCTTCATTTGTACGCATCCACCGGGGTTAGCACCCTGGACCTTCTGGTTACAAGGCAAGCCAGCTTGTAGATCATTAAACAAGTATGACCTAATCCAATGGTCAGCCTACGAATTGTAACTTCTGCAGATTCACTACACAGCGCGACCGCTGGCCAATGTCTTCGGCGAGTACTTTTCCTCACACCGGACCCGCTGTACCCTACTGGTTACGACTTCCCACTGGAACCCCCACCCCCCCGCCAGGAAACCAGATGATACTGGGTTCAAACCCCAGTGGATGCGTACTACTGAAGAGTCCCAAACTAGGACGAAACAGCTGTCCTGTACTCCCAGGTTTTCCAATGGTTCTCTAACCCATGTCAGCACATTGTGAAATCATGCAACAGATAAATCAAATCCCCACAAACCTATACATGAACATAGAACAGTTCATGTCATATTTTATTATAGCGCAATCAATATAAAAATTAGTTATACAAACATCTGTATTTCTTATCAGTTTAATCAGTGTTTGTTAAATACTTTTTCATTGTTGATGTTACCAATGGAATAATTGTATGTGCTACTGATAAGTATTTTCAAATATTATTTAGTGAAAGGTTTTCACTTGAATTCATGTGAATAAACTAATAACAGGTTAAGGTTCAGACAAGAAGGATAAAGAAAACCAGTCATCAGTATTTTTCTTCTATTTGTATTTCATTTTCCTCATTCCATTGTGTTCCCAGTGAAACGTAGGTCTTCAAGTTACTGAAGTCTTAGTAGTGATGATGTAGTTGGCTTTTACAAAGTTGGAGTTGCTAGGTTCACGCCCAACCTTCCCTCTGTTACCGGCCCGCTGTTGGCTAATAAACTAGGCACCGTTTTGGAGTGCTTCGACCGGGAGTCACACTCAAGCCGCTTGACTAATAGACAAGCATTCTACCAGTAAACCACAGCCCTATATTACTGAAAGCATATAAATAAAGGCTGAAAAAAAATAGAGTATTGTAATCAGAACCGATGCTCGTGAAATGAATATTCAGATGACAAAAATATTATGAGTTGAGATAATTTATTAATTAAAATTAATTAAAATTCCACTAGGACTGGTATGGCTGACAGTGTCGTAATTGTTCTGTTAGTGTCAGGCATAGTACTTAGTCATTCAGCTTATATAGGACTAAAAATGAACAAGAATTCGAGGACAGTTAGTCCAGTTAATATGAACAGTCCATCAGTATGCTGGATATAATCAGCCTGATATCTGTTGGTTAAGATGGACTGATCTAGTATAAACTGATTATTACGTTCAAAATTAACTCCTTGACTGCATAAGTGAGTCTATATTTTTGACTTCTGGCTTGCTATTGTCTATCTACAATCAGTGAATTAACTCCGAAAAGACCATAAGTTATAATTTTTGACAAAATGTTCTGGTATACATATTAATATAAACCCATAATTTAACTATAGATTAACTATATAACAGTTTTGTCTTCAATTTTGTAATTTTTCTTACTACTTCAACTGATTAATTTTTAAAACGGAGTATTTTGTTGCTGTCAATATAAGGTGATCACAGAAACTAACACTATGCTTCAGGAAACGCAGACTTCAACAACACAGAACGCAAGCAGGTTTTATTACGATTTGTTCCTTCAGTTCTCAGTGGAATACAGACCTTTGGCAACCCATCTCTATTGCATTCAGTTACCTGACATTACCTTCAACTGGTTCCATGACTCTCGACAAGTTATAATTTCTTTATCATATGATCTTTCTCATGTCACACACACACACACAGTCCAAAGTCATCGCTTCATATTCGGCTTCCAAACTAGGACCTAAAATGTGGTATCACCCCCGCCCCATCCTCCGCAGAGTAAATACAATCAATCCCCATTTCCTTTCGCATATTTGTCCGGTAATAGGCTGTCGGCTGGTCAACTGATTGCCAGAGTTTTCTCTTGCTTATTATTTCCAGCTGGCCGTCTGATCCTTGGTATTGAGACAATAAAGACAGATGTTCACAAACGCCTGTTCGAAATGTTTTCCATGCCTCTAGATCAGAGTATCTGAATCATACACAAGCACTGACTTGACATCAGTGTTGTACTAACTGGTGTGGATCCCGACTGTGCTTGAAATATTGCTTTTCACGCAAATGAAAGAGACAGTTTATTCTGTCTATGCTTTGAAGGTTCTCCAGTGATAGAGTAGGATAAGTATATATATATATATATATATATATATATATATATATATATATATATATATATATCACTTAGTGGTTATTGAATCGCAAAGAAAATCTGAATGTACTTAACTCCATTGGAAATTAAGAATGATTTACTGCGAAATATTTATTCATGACTGACAGTAGTAACTGTTGCGTAATTACTTCGCATAGTTCTCTATTGTTCATATTCATCTTAAATTATGTTTCAATAAAATAATAGATTTCAAAAGGTGTCTGTGAAAAACGACATGATAAACTGAAAATGACTGGTTACAAATCTCCTTTTATCTCATATGCTGATCGTGTCTAGCATACTGTTAGATTGTTCATATTAACTGGACTAGTTGTCTTCTAATATCGGTTTCTAGGCCTTCCAAGAATTAATCTGCAAAATGCTGCCGCACAGGACTTCCTCTCGTAACACAGTCGACTTGACGGAACAGACATCCATCGCATTGAAACTGGATTCACTGTAGTTTGTTTACTTATCAGTCTTATATCTCTAATTCTAATGGTATATATCCCTAAATTCAGTGTATTCAGCTAAAGAGTTATACAAAAATTCAGTGAATTTATAAAAGCCTACTTTATCAACCTTTGTTGCTTGTTTTAGGTTGTGTATTGGCCTAGTTTTCTACACTTGGCAGTGGATCATTCAAAGAAAGATAAAATACGGGAAATCTAGCCTAATTAAAGTAAAAACTATAGCAGAAGAGAAGTATAGGGAGGCAAAATACAGGTACAGTAAGTTAACCTTAAACCAGACTAAGGATACGGGGCAGATTCATCTGTAACATTAGCAACATTACTAAAATTTCGTAATCATTATCCTATCCACTAGGCCTGAATTTATGCACACTGTTTAGAAAGGAGTTCTGCGTGGTCGTACCGAAACGCGGCACAAATCGGTGAAGTCTTCAACTTTAGGTTTGAATCATACAAGGGGATGTAGACTGTCTATTTGAGGGTGACTTGATCATGTCATAATCCTTCAACATATTCTCGAACACAGTCGTACTTACCAGTATCCGATGCTGGCCATATTTCTTGACCTTAGGTCAAACTTTGACCCCGTCAGTGAAGGAGTGCTGTTGTTATGTCTGGTCGCGAACGAAGTGCAGAGAATATATATCATGCTATCCAGGGCGTTCCGCTTGGACACATGTAAGTGCATGAGGGCCTACGGGAAGCTGTTGTATGAAGTGAAGACAACGAGGGGTGCCCATTATGAATGCCCGGTGTCTACGCATTTTTCAGGAGTTATTTTTTTAGGAATTTGACTTCTTTTTCAAGTCTGACCATGGGTTGGTATCAGTTAGAGAACTCCTGAAAACCAGGTAATATTAGACAGCTGTTTAGTCCTATTGAAGGACTCACTGGCAGTACGTATCCACCAGGTTTTGAGTCCAGCACCTTCCGGTTACAAGTCAAGCTCGCAGACCATTCAGCCAGTGGGACTCAATCCAGTGGCCCATGATTTCCAAATTCTACCGATTCATGATTTTAGCGCGACCACCAGCCAATAGTCATCGGTGAGTATTTGTGCTCACTCCTGACCAGATGGATCCCCCTGGTCAGCGCTACTCACTGACTTTCAATTCTTCAAAAGTGAATTAAACCCAGAACAGTGCATATTATATCATTTAATCAATTATATAAGTGTCCTGTTGACTGATGCACTCCTAAACCTTGCCTAGCTGAGAGTATGAAACCATAAAAGTGGGAAGGTTAGGCGTGGAGCTAGCAAAACCAGCACTAGTAAAATTCCACAGCCTGAAGCTTTATGTTCCAGTCAAAAGAAGAATAAGTTAAAGAAAGCGGTAGTCTCAGACTGAAAAGTTCATTTTTACGCGATAAAATCCTGTCTGAGACTGCCAAGAGAAACTCTGAAGTTAACCACCAACGCGTGAATTAAAGATTTGTGGCCTGACTTACTGAGATGCGAGATATAATTTCTGACGGAGTTTTAAGCTTACCTCTGATACCAAACAGTTTATCCAGTTGTCAAGTAAATGTGCGTTGATGGCACAGTGGTTAGGACTCTCAACGACCATGCACATGGTTCCAGGTTCGAGCCCGCGCCGACGCACACCTGATATCTATGGTCGGCCTGCAAAATTTGGGCTACCGATATCCATGCTGAAAATTCCATACTTGTACCAAAAATACAGTATGGAATCAAGCTGTAAATAAAAGAAAAGAGTCATGCCTTATTGTCTGTTAAAAATAAGATGAGAAGACTTACACAAACATCAAACTTGTTGAGGAATATTAAGTTGAATATCATTCAGTTAATACAACAGGTTGACGAAAACTCCAGTCAAACAGATGAAGTTGAAGGTGAAGTTAAAGAATGGTGGTCTCGTGGAAGGGATGCCACCAGTGATCTTGAAACAAACACTTACGTTAAAAAGTGGATTTAGATCATCATTCTCCAGCTTTGCCAAGTTGAGATCTGATTACGGTATTGATCAGTTAACAAATAACTGCTTTCAGCTCTACTGTAATTCATGTTATATTGTTTTAACTGATACCACTCGTCTTTCTTTGAGCATTAAAGTACACGTGAAATTTTTCTTTACTAGCAAATAAATATAATATTTGCGTCATTTTTACATTTGTCATAACTTCTTTATGCAATGCTCTTTGTTCAAAGTTAACTATTACAGATTCCATTCCACCGTCAGTCTGCATAATTTAATAATTATCTTATTATTTTAATTATTGTTCTGCTTCTGTTTATACAATAAATTAGATTACATCAAGCTAGCCGATGATGCCATAATTGGTCTGATTATGAGATATAATTCACTACACAGTACAAATGAAAGATTAAAAAGAGAAATGGAGACTAAAGCTGAAGAAGTAAGCAATTACCATTTGGTCATTCTTCGTCTTTTTGGTGTTGATTATTATGATTAAAAGAAAGAAGAAAAACGGTTAATAGGAAGTCAGTAAGCCCTAGGTTGGTTGTACTATTGTTACTATTCTTGTTCGCTTGGGTTCCGAGTGGAACATAGGGCTCCACCAGCATATCTTCTGTTGTCTTCACTTCCCTTTAGCTGGCCCCACGATTTCCTTCCCACTTGATCTCCTCCACGTCACACTCGGACCTATGCCCAACTCGTCGTTTCCCAATCACCTTCCATTCAGCCTATGTCCTGGCGCCAGAAATCATCCAACTGTCTCCTCACCTTGTGTCCCATCCATCTCCACTTTATTCCGCATATCCTCTGGAGAGTGGGTTCTCGCTTGCAAGTTCATTCCCAGAGTTTCCTTTTGCTTATTGTTTCTACCGGCTATCTGGTCTTCAGTATGGAGCCAGAGAAGGCAGCTGTTGATAGAAGTCTGCCGTAGCCTATTGGAAATGCTTTTTGTTACGCGGGTGCCAAGTTTCTGACTCATTTAGAAGCATCGAGTGAATTAACGGTCACGCATAAAATCCAGATTTTGTTGTTGATGCTTCGGTGAGGTGCAGAAGATTTTTAGAGTGATGAAGGTCTGTCTTGCCTTTCCGACCGTGGTTTTCACATCTTCATACTGGAACTTTAGTTCGTTACAATCTATTTATGGTATTGTAATTATGCAATAAGGAAAAAGTGACAACCTGTTGCTTTTGTTGTAGCCTAGTTAACGAACAGAACCCGGTCCAAACCAACCACAAAGCTAATATTGAGAAGTCCTTCTCCAACATCTAATAGGTACCAAATAAATTGCCAAAAGCATCCAGGTACCCCATACTCCAAACAACAGAGGATATCGCAATCCACGTGAAACAACCAGTGCTTTGTGTCCAGCCACTACTACTCCCCTGACTGGCCTTCAGTAGAGACTATAAATTCATAAACTGATATTATCATTTTCCCTAATTTTTCTGATATTCAGTGTAGTGTTATGTTGATGCCGTCAAACTGTAATCCATTGATGTTATTATTGTTATTATTATTATTATTGATTCGATGTTATTTAATCAACATTGATGTTGTTAAAAAATCCGAACTCTTTTACTATTATGGATATATAACTGTAGAACCTGATGAAGATCAGGTTATTGTAAAGAATATTCTTTGTCAGTAACTATTCTTTTGAAAACATTTTAATGGGCATTTGTGGTCAACTGAAAGAAGAATTTTCGATTTTTAAACCATTTCGAGAAGTATTTATTGGCCATCCAATACTGATAATATGATTTATTTGAAAAGTGAATACTTCTTTGCTCAATCCTTTTGCCTTTTAAGTGTTTAAACTTTGGAATTTTTTCCACTTTGATAAGAATTTGTGATTTGTTCTACTTTCGAAGTGTGAAAAAACGTGATACTAATGAAAGCACTTCGTAGAGAGACAAAAGAGGAGGAATTTTGGACGAAATACTGTGTACGCCTTCTGTCTCCATTTCTCTTGTTTACCACCTTATTTGTCCATATTAGTTTGTTTATAAGATGTATCACACAGTGAAACAGTATTGTATACTGGATGACACACTTTCGAACACAATTTATTGTTCATAATCATATCAATTGTGGCCACACGACTTTGAGATTTGAGTTTTATAGTTTTCTTTGTTCTCTCCTATTTGTCGTCGTAGGGGTAGTAGAATTTTCCATATATCTGGGACAGGTGTTGAATCGTTTCTATTACATGTATTTGCAGTTGATTCGATAAACAAAGCTTCTGTTTTCAATCTCTGGAAATGAGGTCGTTTCTGACTGCTTCTTCAGCCATATTTATTGGTATACGTGTATATAAACTGACAATGCCAAAACTAATCATTTTCTCTTCATTATCTAATTTTAAATTATCTAATCTGTGTTTTAGTTCATAAGAATTTGTTAGTCTAGATTTCGAATGGTTTTTAAGGGGATTTAATACCATTAATACCATGGCTAAATATTTAGATAATTCATAAGTAGGTGAATTTCTAATACAAATACATAGGTCAAACTAGTAGAACAGGTGCAGTTGGACTAGCCGAACATAAAAACCTAGCTAAATCTAGATTGGTTGACCCGAATAAGATAAGAAATCTAGAAAATAGTTCAGCTATAGCATTACATGCAGTTACACACAACCATACAATAGGATGGGATGGGATGACAGTTTTAAAATCTAATGTTACAGGGTATAGGGAGAGATTGATAACAGAAGCTTTGTTTATCGAATCAACTGCAAATACATGTAATAGAAACGATTCAACACCTGTCCCAGATATATGGAAAATTCTACTACCCCTACGACGACAAATAGGAGAGAACAAAGAAAACTATAAAACTCAAATCTCAAAGTCGTGTGGCCACAATTGATATGATTATGAACAATAAATTTTGTTCGAAACGTCATCTAGTAAATAATACTGTTTCACTGTGTGATACATCTAATAAACAAACTAATATGGAATTACTTACTACCACAGTGCTCAAGTTTTACACATATATTAACATACCTTATTTGTCGCTCTTCTATTCAGGAATCTTTCAGTAGATGTTGCATAGTATATTTCTGGCAAATTTTTATCAATATCGCTAGCCACATATTGAAACGTATGACATTAGAACTTGATTAATGACCTAATATGTATTTCATAGGAGATTATGTTGGGAAGATAGCTTGACGTTTAGAGGTAATGCTCAGTTAGTTAACTGTGTTTATGATATGCATACTACTGAAGTCACACAGCTTGGCGATGAAACATTCACTGCAAAATATAAAAGCTCAAATTATCGCTACTTTCAGCATAAGTACCTTAATTATATATTCTCTTTAGATTTTCAAGTAACTTGTTGTTTTGGGCATTGAGAATAAACCTGATAACTGTATATCTTGACTGGTATCTGTTTAAACCACGTGTGGGTTAGTGTTTGTGCTTTGTTAAGTAACATAAATCAGGAAATCATGGGTCACTGAAGTATGGCCGACTGATAGCATGCTTAACTGATAAACTAACAGCCTTAGGTTGTACTTGTGCAACAAACTGATAGTTCAGTTAATGAAATATATTTAAGGATCAGAAATGTAAAGTAGTGTTGGTTGTGTAAGTAGTAAGGGTTCGTGCACCGAAAGTTAGATGACAGCATACCGAGTGGTGTGGATGCCTGACAGCCTACCTTTAGCTTAACAAGTCGACTTAAATAGTGAACAGGTTTGACCACTATCTTACATCAGTTAAAAAACTATCGGGAAATCAGGAAGTACTGGAGAGATGTTTCTTCCCACCTTGGAACTCTGCAGTGGTACGCATCCACCAGGATTTGAAATGGGAACATGGTGAGGAGGCCAGCTCATTGACCGTAAAGCCACTGAGATCCGATTCAACGGTGCATAGATTCCAACTTCTGTCAATTAGTGATATTTAGTGCAGCTAGGACGGAACAGGTGTTTAGTACTCCTTGGTTTTCCAGTGGTTTTCTAGATCATATCAACCTATGATCAGACGTGTATCCAATCAAATCCCTGCAAACCAATACTTGGTAATGATTATAATGCTCACTAGTGTCTTGCTCTATGCAGGAGTTTACCTGGAGTTCTAGTGAGAAGTCGTAACTAGCGGAGTCGATCAAGTGTAGCAAGAAAACAATTATTCGACGATGACATGAACTGGCGATTGTGCTAAATATCGCCAGATTGCTAGAAATTGGAATTCATGGACAATTATGTTTGCTTTGAATATTCAGTTATATTCATGCAGACTGACTTATATAGTCTTGCTTTGAAACGTCAGTAGGATAACTGAAAAGTGAAGCTCTGTGTGGTAATTTATGCATTGTTTTTTCTTTCTTGAGTAAACACATTAAGAGGAATGTAACTAAAATATTTTAGTTCTAATTTGAAAGTTTTAATGAATATTCAATTAACCAGCCTTCACCGGTGTGTTACACACACAGATACACATTTGTAGTTGAATTAAGTCACAGAATTGATTAATTAATTAATGCTTGGTAGGGTTTTCCTACGAGTCATCACATTAATGTTATATGATTTAAAAGCTGATGGTGTTATGACATGTTGGCTAAACTATTTTAATATGTCAGAATAAATCTATCCTAATTCTGGCTGTGTACATTTTATGTGCTGTTACCTTACAAAAGCATCAAATTCTGATCTCTAGATAATCTTTAGGGTTATATTTTGAGAGTTAAGTGATACTAGGATGCCACAGACATTACTGTTTAAAAAGAATAAGCTAGACATAAGATATTCTACTGGAAGGGTAGTCCTTATACAAAAGTGACTTAAGACGAACACATTAATCTTAAGATAAATATACTATCTTTGAAATTTTATATCAAGATGACAGCAGTAGGATGACTGCTGTTTTCAATTTTGACCACGGGTTGATATCAGTTACGGAATCTCTGAAAACCAGCAGGGAGTACTAGACATGTGTTTCTGTTGTTCTAGTTTGTAATTCATCAGCGGTATACACCCACCACCAGGGCTCGAACCCAGGAGCTCATGATTACAAAGCAAGCTCTCAAACCACTCGACCACTGGGAACCGACTTAATCGTGAACCCACAAATTCTAAATTGTACCTATTTGTGATTTCAGCGTAATCACCAGCCAATGTGATCCACGGCGAGTATTTGTCCTCACTCCCAACCAGGTGGACCCCATTGGTCACGATTCCTCATTAGAGCCACTGATCAATAGAAAACATCATATTAATTTTCAAGAGTTAGTTGGCAGGAATATGATTTCTTCTAAGTTTAATAACGAGCTGACATCAGGCAGAGAATTCGTGTTTTTATCTACTTAAATTCTAAATGTGCTGTCACATATTTTGTCTCAAGTCTTTTATTGGGCCAGTCGGGTTTTGATTTCGACTCACCAAATTGAACCCAGCATTAGGGTTTCACATCTACTAAATTAATTTATATAATCTATTTCATAATGTTACTTAACTGTTCATCCCAACCCTTCTGAACTCTACAGCATAATATGCATGAATTAACTTTGTTGTTCCATCTTGTATTTTGTGTGAAATTCCTCCTTGTCTCCAAGCGAAATCAAAACTCCACACTTTTGTCTAATTAACATATAAATAGTTAGTATTTTAACACAAGATAATTGTCTACTTACACAATTTTTTGGCATTACAGTTTTTGTATATAGATCGAAGTCCCTATGTAGAAAGTATCTTTAGAAATTTTTTTTGATTTACAGCTTGATTCCATACTGTATTTTTGGTACAAGTATGGAATTTTCAGCATGGATATTGGTAGCCCAAATTTTGCAGGCCGACCATAGATATCAAGGTGTGCGTCGGCGTGGGCTTGAACCCCGGACCATGTGCATGGTCGGCGAGAGTCCTAACCACTGTGCCACTGACGCACTGCAGCTCTTGAGTCATTCTGTTTAATTTTGTAAGGTTAGCTCACCTGCAGACCTTTTCATTCAAAGTTCTAGACAATTTACAAATTATTGTGAAATGAATACTATGGAGATAGTGTTTTGTAGAATGAAATTATGCGAAGTAAACTTTTAAGACCTGTGTAATAAAGTAAAACTCATTAAAATGGATTATGAAAAATGGCGAAACACACATAATTGTCTAAGCACAAGAGTCTAATTAAGTTCTATAAAATCTTGTGACTTATATGTCGATACTGTTTAGGACGTACGCAGTTGAGGAGAATGTTTGTTTTTTATTTTTTCCAATTTAATTAAAGGGAACCGGTTTCCTGAAATATATATATATATACATATATTCCATCTAATTAACTCCAACTCTTCAATTTCACAATAAATTAAATTTAATACGAATGAAAGCGCAATAAAATCTACATTTTTGGTATATGTAAGTACCTAAGTGTTTTCAAGATTTTGGCAGACTACACGGAGAAAATTATCACCTACTCGCACCATCCGGAAACCATACCTTCAAAAGCACGGAATCTCTGTGAACCGAATTTGTCATTTATAAATTAAACACAGTTAAAAAGTGGAAATCCACTTCGATTTACTTTAAAATTCAAACCAGTTTATCCGAGTAGTCTAGTCAGAACTCGGTTAGTTGAATTTTTTCAGCTGTCTGAACTAAGCCTAACCGGGTACAATACTGATTACATCATTATGTAACGTTAAACAAGGAAAATCACCATCTAGTGCCTAGATTATTTCAAGCTGGTCAGTAAACCCTGCTGGTTGAAAAGAATGATTGGAAACCGGTCATATCATTTAGTCATATCATATCATGTATCATCACCCATATATATATATATATATATATATATATATATATATATATGGGTTCGCCTTGGGTGTGATTCGTCGATCTCAGGACTGTTAAACTTTGATTTGAATGTTTTACGATTCATTCATTTGATCAGGATTCGGTGGTCAGGGCTTTTCAACTTCTGCGACTACTTATCCAGTAGTCCTATTGTAAATTGAGAAGTGTTGTAATTTCTGAAAACACTTATTCACTAAAGACGTTAGATTACATTCGTGTCGCTTATTATTGAGCGTATCAATGTATTTTTCTGTTGTAATGCCATCAAAGTAATTATCCTGTCAGAATTCACAGTAAGATTATTAATTTGTTACACTTTTGTTTATATTTCACTGGTGACTAACTTATGCACTAATTTATCTTTTTAAAACTTGTCGCATTTACTAAATGAAATCTTAATCGATATTTGGACACACACACACCTACACAACATCAATAACAACAACAACAAAAATAGTTGAGACAAGCACAAAATGACTTGAGAAAATTAAAAGAATCACATCGTTTCTTGTTATTTAACAAAAACTCTGAATTATCTGCGTTGTACAGTGAACGTGAATGTCTTGACAGTAATTTTCAAGCGACTAATTCAACTTTTGTACAAAGTCATGATGATTTAGTGAATCAGGTAAGCGATTACTGCCACTACAACATATGTACTCTATATATGGTTGTGTGTACATGTACTTGTCTGTGTGTTATGTTATAACCAGTTAATAACCAGAAATTACATCCTGATTAGGTGAATAGATAGGACAGTTAAATAAGCATGACCAAAATACATGAATGTGACCGTTCAAATTGGTGAACTTCACAACACCTTACGCGTAAAGACAAACCGACTGTGCTTGAAATGGGCATCGTACATGATAAATGCAAAGTGATTCATACTGAAGGACTAGTTTTTACACTGACTGTTTCTTTGGGGAGAAGAGGTGAAATGGTTGAATTTGTTGGTCAATTCACACTTATTGAGTATTAAGTATTAGTCAGTGTGGGTTGATTTCTAATGAAATTTCAGCATGAATGCAGATGGCTTATCTGGCACTTAGTGTGTCGGTGGCACAGTGGTTAGGACTCTAGCCGGCCATGCACATGGTCCGGGGTTCCATCCCCGGCCGACGCAATCCTTTACTTCGCTGAGCCAGAAATAATGCTGGTAAAGATGAAAGGTTGGGCACGAGGCTAGTAACCCCATCCTGTAAAAATGATCAGCACTGCTACAGAAACTTCAAGCCACAAGCTTGAGGCCCTATGTTCCACTGGGGAACGTGAAGGAAAAAAAAAGAAAAAAAATTCCACAAAACAGAAACGTTCTGACAACATGGAGGGTAACTGTGTATGCAACTGAGAAAAGCTCTCTCAAGAGAAAGGAGAATATATGCAAAATTTACAAGGCGTTACAGTATGAAAAAATCTGCACTACTATAGAAAATTGTGACCACTCGGAAGGTTTCAACATCCCGTTGATCAACCAAAACCTGTTTGGTTGACTCAGATAACACTTGGAAAGTTCATGAATTGACTAATGCCAACTTTCTGAATACCTCTGACGCTTCTACATTTCAAATCTACTTGAAAAACATTGTTAACTGATGGAACTGGTGATTCAGAATGAACAACATACATTCTACTTAATTCTATCAGGAAAAAAAAACACCTAACAACATTGGCTAATCTACTATTTTGTAATTTGCAAATACGTGTAACTACGGATGTTAAATGCTACTCAGTAAGCAATGTAAAAAATGTCTAATACCTACGCTGCCCTATAGTCAGTATACTTCTTTGAGTCAAGTTCTAATAAAAGTATCTTTCACAGTGGACAGAAGTAGCACAACACAAAGAGGTATTATGTGTTAGAAAAAGAAATCAAAATCCAGTGAACAGTGAGCAGATATCCTGTCCTTATTCAGTACAGGATCTTCTAAACCTTCTGACTAGGCGGAAAATCAACTTCTTCTGCTTTATAGTAAAATATGCCTAAACTAGTAATCATATCTGTACAAATGTACTAACTTTGTATTTAAAAAAAAACTGAAGTTAACCAATTCAGTGTGGTAGTATGTCATATAGTGGTAATCTATTTATTAGACACACACACACATACAGTGAACCAGTATTATTCACTGGATGATGTTTCAAACCTAATTTATTATTGTTCATAGCTGTATCACCTCGTGTGACTACACAACATGGAAACGGAACTTTTTATGGTTCTCATGCTTTTTTCCCATCTAGCTATTAAGGGTAGAAGAATTTTTCAGATGTTGAGGACAGTTACTGAATCACTCCTATTGCGCATATTCTTAATAGGTTCGATAAATTAGGCTTTAGTTATCAATATCACTCTACACTTTGTCAGATTCGATTTGAAGGCTGTCATCTTGTTCCATTCCATTGATAGTCGTATGCAACCAATAAACACAGCTGTAGACGCAGCCAAGAACGAAGCCGTTTCTGACCAAGAATTTGGGCTTAGAATCAAACTACCACTAGAAGAAATCATGCTGGGGGTGTAGCTATGCCTGACTTTTACAGTATTTAAGTTTCAACGGGATATACTCACTGAAACTGAGGGAGTTGGCATGCGGTCACCGATATCTCCATTTTCCGCAAATATATCTATGAATGTAAGGTGTAGGTGTGTGAATGACACATTCGTGGGTTTAAAAACACAGGAGATAAGGAGATATTTTGAACACATCAACTCAACGGTAGATGCAATTCAGTTTTTTTTTCAGTTCGAAAGCCAAGAAGGAGAGCTTTATAGAAAAAAAAAAGAAAGAAACAAGATGGGAAGTTAAACACTAGTATTTTCAGAAAACCCAGACATCCAAAGTAACATTTGAATCTCGGCTCATTTAAACCTATGTCGGTTAAAATAGGATTAGTAAAATGTCTAAGTTAATAGAACAGAACAAGTAAATAATTTCAAAACAATCTACAGTTAGAAATAACACGTATAAGAGAAGCTTTGGCATCTAATAATTACCTAGACAAAGTATATGGGGAATTAAAAGAAGAGAAACAACAATAATAAGAGGATGAAATGCATGACAAACATACACAGGAAGAACAGCAATACCAACAAGAGGGTATTTAATATTCACATCAGTACTGGTGCCATACAATGAAGGAAGCTCTGAAACCATACGTAAGAATAGAAGTGGAATTCAATGCCACAGAAAAAAATTACGTCAGTTAAAGGGTCCTATGGATATGAATGGATATGGTCCCATGAAACAAAATAATTTAGTTTATCCAACACGTTGCAGCATTTGTAGGTCTAAGTAGCAGACCAGTGTCAGTAAGGTTACTAGAGCTCGAAGATCCAGGAAAATTTACACTTGCAGACCTTCAATATGTGTCACATATGAAGTAAATAAATAAATTTGGAAGATTTCAACAAACTCGATTTTATTACATTGTTGAGTTTATTAAGTATTCACAGTTAATGAACTAGTTCCATTGAACAACAAAGATGTAACTGTCTGCACTAGACTGAATATCACTCTGTCTAATGTGGTAGTGGAATAAAACCCTCTCTCAATCAGATACCAGATATGTTTCCATGTAACTGAATAACAAAGTTAAGCTTTTCTCAAGATTTAAAAAAAGCTGACACCATGGTGCACAGATTTGTACCTAAATAATTAAACAGTAATATGATCATGCTGGTTTTTGAGCATTATTGGTGGATAGTTCAGAAATGAAGAAGTTAAAAAATGTTCATCAGTGCTTTATTTACTGATGGAAGAGTATTTGTAGCCTACAAAGTTATCAGATAGTACATGTATTTACATTTTTTTTATTGATTTTGTTTTTTTCAATTTTACAGCTCTCTTTTTTTATGACAGTAATAAGAGCTATCAATAATTTGACGGGAAAATTATTGCGAACATACGATATCACTTTATGTGGACAAACATTGTTAAGCAAAATACAAAAAATGACAGTATGTTATTCAAAGAATATTTATTAAGGAATTTTATTTCTCATTATTATTCTCTTGGGTTCTGAGTAGAATATAAGGCTTCCACTGCACACCTCTCTTCCTTTGAAGGGTTCTCTGCAGTCCTCCTTAGCTGGCTTCATAAATACCCAAAAGCTTCCATTTGCTCCTCACGCGATCTCCTCCATGTCACCCTCAGACCGTTGCCCAACTCGTTGTTTTCCACTTGAGTTCCATTCACTGGCCTAACACGTGATGTCAAGCAACAGTATCCTCAGCACATGACCAATCCATGCCCATATTCTTCGGCATATTTTTTAAGCAGTGGGTTGTTGGTTGGTTCGTTGCCTGAATTCCTTATTGCTAATCCCTTCTCACCATCTGATCTTCAGTATGGAGCTAAAGCAGCAGTCAGTAGAAATCTGCGAGCTGTCAGAAATGTTTTTCGTTGATATATATACATATATATATATATTTCTGGAGAAATCTATATTGTGAATTAGCTACACTTGAAGCAACATTGGAAGCTGAGACTACTATGCATCATTTGCAAGTGATCTGTTATCAGTTTACAGGATCAACAAAACGAATAGTTGGCAAAGACTCACTACCCTTTTTGGTAGCATATGATTTTGTTGTTTGATCTATAGGTTGAAAAAATTAATTTTGCTAGGAAAAGTAAAATACTGTAGATTGGTGATGATGACATAAGATGATAATGCTCTGGAGCGGTAGTTAACAGCAATAACAACTGCAACATTGATTGAAGTTTGGTGTATTGATAGAACGCTAGAAACTTACAGTCTACTGTGATCCTGAGAACGATCTTACAGAGGTGAAATAAATAGCATCACTTAAAAAAAAGACTAAATTCTATGATTCGTAAATCTCAGTATGCAGTCTGGTTTGTATTTATCGAATAAGCGAAAAAGCATGCTGTCTCCAGGGTCTCTTCAATGCACAAGTACTTGCGTCACATCCCATACTATATACCAGTTTACATGTGTGTAGATGCAATCACACATACGTGAGAGGAGGGAGTTATAGCGGTTTTCACGCAAGTGTGACAGAATATATACCCAAAATGGCTAGAAAGACAATTAAACTGCAAAACCTTGATAAATTAAGGGAGTCGACGAACAGCCTCGTCTATCGCAAAACGCCTGAATGATATGAATCATGAGAGTGACATCGAAACAGCCTTCATGGGTGTATGCTGAGATACACTCAGGCGACAGCTGTCCGTAAAATAAGAACTCCCCTCTCCTGTGTGCACAAAATCCAGTATATTGTGACTGGGTTAATCCGTATATGATTATATTACGAAAAGTAGTGTCAATTCTTATTACCGTCTTTACGCTTAAATCTCCTATTATTTTATTTATTTATTTTAGTTGACCTTTGATGTTTCCTTTTTTACATAAATCGAAATGAAAAGTGAACATGTTTGTGTGGGATCAGAATGCTCGAAATGTATTGCACAAATATATCACCTCGTTTAGATAGACCTCTTTGAATAATAACGCTTTCCAAATTTATTATATGAATTAATCGTTTTAAATTTCAAGAGTTAGGTTGTAGGGATTTGATTTGTCGCAAGTTTGATCACAGATCTATATCAGTTACTGAACTTTTGGAAACCCAAGGAGTGATAGACAGCCGTTTCGTCTTAACTAGGGGGCCCCCCAGCAGTACTCACCAACCAGCGTGAGTGTCCAGGACCACGTCGCGAACAAAAACTCGCTGATGACACTGTCTAGTGACCGCATTACAATTCACTACCTGTTAGAAGTTTAAATTTGTTGACCGTTGGTCTGTCTTTCTGTCTGTCTGTCTGTTTTCGACATAGAACTTTGCACAAATGTGCGGAAGTTCAAGTCGCCACATTCCGTGTAGCACGCGAAGCAAGAGAAGAAAGTACAAGAAAAGCATAATAGAAACAGTGAGCAGAGGTGTGAGACAAAGGAGTAATAAAGAAATACAAAACAGTTTCATTGAAGATCATAAGTCACAAGGAGTGGATGCATCTGCGCCACTGAGAACGATTTTGAGCCATGTCACCAATTGTTTCCAACCATAGATTTTTACCGTCCCGAGGACCCCAGCCTGGAAGTCTACACCTTTCTACGTGGCTTAGACCAACTGTTGTGGATTTCATTGACTGATGCCAAGTTTTTGTTTGACCGCCGCTAGCTTTTTTCCAGCCTGACCCTATATCCGCTAACATTGCTCGTCGAGGGAGGCGATGGCTTGGCATACGTAACACATGTCCTAACCATCTCAGTCTTTGTAGCTTCACGACTTCGTCGATTGATTTCCCCTGTTTACCTAGAACTCTACGCCTAACCTCAATGTTGCTCACCTTATTATGCCACTTTACACGGGAAATAGAACGCAGGCACCTATGATCAAAGACAGCTAGTCTTTTCATGTCTTCCACTCTCAGTGGCCAGGTCTCACAACCATAAAGGAGGACGGAGCGGACTGATGAGCAGTACACCCGCCCTTTGGTCGATAGTCGAACATCTCGTCTACGCCAGAGTCGGCGTAAACTAACAAATGCGAAACGAGCCCCTTGTATTCGTGCTGAGATTTCGTCAGAGATCAGCCCGTTGGGGCTGATGGTACTTCCCAAATAAGTGAAGCGGTCAACGTGCTCTACCACTTCACTTCCTATTTTTAAACTAGGCGTCGATGTAGTCCAGTCCTGTAACATCATCTTGCATTTGGCGGGAGCGAATCGCATGCCAAACATTCGTAGATTGCGGCTCAAGGTGTTTAGAAGACTCTGCATTTCGTCAGCGTCTTCGCCTAGAAGGACTATATCGTCTGCATATTCCAAGTCAACGAGATTATTCCCGGTAGCAAGTCAATCCCTGAGTCGCTGAAGTCACCTAGGGTTAAGTCCATTAACACATCTATGATGAAGTTGAATAGAAAAGGAGATAATGGGCATCCTTGACGGACACCACTGGTCGTCATCAGTTCAGATGACAGCTCGCCGTAAGCCCTCACCTGGCTGTATGAGTACGAGTAGAGTGCCTTAATCAGTGCAATATATTTTCTTGGAATTCCCTTTACAGCCAAGCATCTCCAGAGAACTTCCCGATCGACAGAGTCGAATGCTGCCTTTAGGTCAAGAAATATAATGACTGTTGGACGCCGGTAGGAATGCCTATGTTCTAGAATCTGTCGGAGGGTGAAGATATGATCAATACACCCTCTTCCTGGTCTAAAGCCTGCCTGGCTCTCTCGTGTTTGTGCTTCCCGAGCACCACTCAGTCTACGCATGATTATTGAGCCTAAGACTTTAGATACTATATTAGTCAAGCTAATCCCTCTGTGATTATCACAGGAAGACTTGTCTCCCTTCTTGTATATGGGGATAATCAGTGACTTACACCAACCCGATGGGACTTCTTCTGATTCCCAGACGCTGCCTAGTACCTCAGTTAATCCGGACAGTAAGCTGTCTCCACCGTACTTAAATACCTCTGGAGTCATTCCATCAGGTCCCGCTGCTTTGCCTAGTTTCAGATTGGTGACAGCTTTAGTAACCTCAGTTAGTGACGGAGGACCTGTGTCTATATCCCATTCAGGGAGGTGTTGGATGCTCGGAAGGTTGAGCGTGGCTGTGGGCAAATTAAACTGCTCCTCATAATGCTCTTTCCAACGATCCAGTCGTCTATCCTGGAGCTAATTATAGTGCCATTTTTTTCCGAGATTGTCTCACTTATGATTTGTCTTCTCCCACCCGTTTCCCTGATGAGTCTAAAGAGTTGCCTGGTGTTGCCTATCCTCGAAGCTTTCTCCATCTCTTTGGCTTTTGTCGCCCACCACTGTTCACGGTCCTTGCGGAGACTTTTCGTAAGTTTCCTCTTGTGCAGCTTTCGCTCCTCATTGAATTCGGAGCTCGCCGGAATAAGTCTTCTAGCATCTATCAGTTCGGATGAGGCGGTGGAGATCCAGTGGTTTTTACTCACCTTTGGGTTTACCTTATTCACAGCTTTTACAGCTGTATCTATGGCTGCCTGGATATTTTTCCAAGCTTCTTCAGGGTGAGCACAGCTGTCGAACACAGATATGTGTTTAGCTAGTTCTTCCTCAAATACGGATTTAGTTTCCTGATCGAGCTGGGGACGTGATGGTTTTACCGCCAGCTGTTTCCTACGTCCGTTCAGTCGTAAGCACACCCGAGCGCGGACCAGTGCATGGTCGGTATCTACGCACGTGTTCCAGAAGGAGCGACAATCTCCTACCGACCCACGCCAACGATAGCTTATTGCTATGTGGTCTATTTGTGTCCAGCGTTGGTTTGATGAAGGGGGTCTCCAAGTCAAACAGTGTCTCTCCTTGTGTTTAAAGTTAGTGCTTACAAGAAACAAATGATTATCAGAGCAGAACTGTAGGAGACGGTCACCGTTGTCGGTTCGCTGGCACGGAACTCCATAGGTGCCACCGACATCCTTCTCAGATTGACACAATTTCCCTACTTGAGCGTTAAAGTCACCAGCTAGAACGACTATGTCTGAGCGTTTAGCCTTCCCACCAAACTAGACAGCTTTTGGTAGAACTCATCCTTCGTTTCATCTGAACTGCAGTCAGTGGGGGCGTAGGCGGAGATTACGAAAAGGCATCGGCGAGTAGTGCAGTCCTTTTTCCTTTTTACTGATCCGTTCAGACGGACAGCACACATTCGGCTATCTACCGGGATCCAGTCAAGCAATGTCTTTTCTGCCCTAGTACTCAAAGCTATCCCTACGCCAGCTAATCCTCGTGAACTAGCTGTGGCATCTCCTGACACCCTCAAGGTGAATTTTGCAGATTCAACCTGTTGGCCAGGTGGGGTTAGGTGAATAACCACACTTGGGTCTTGTATGCGTGTTTCTGAAACACAGCATACATCAATGGCTCGTGATGCCAGGGTCTTGGCTAGTGATGCTTGTTGTCCTATTTGGCAAAGTGTCCTAACATTAAGAGCTCCTATATGAAATTGGTGGCGCGGCTTTAAGAGGCTGTCGGTGGTGGTTTTTTGGCTTCCATCGTTTTTAGTGGACGCAGAGTGGAGAGGAAGTGGAGAGCTATCAAGTCGAGGAGTTGCATCAGTGGAAGGAAGGCAAGATGATAGAGATGAAGATGAAGACAAAGATGAGTGAGTAATAGAGAGGTTTCGCGTGCATTTCGGATTGTGAGGGCGATTGTTACTTCCCGGCTGCCCACACCGTGGAAGTTGGTTGCGTGACCGCAGAGCCCAGGGGACAACTGCTTGAGGCCGGTCACACGCGGCCTGTTTTTGTTTGTTCTTTTTGTTTGGTGTGTCTCAGTAGCATATTTATCACTCCTGCCCTGTGACACGGCAGCAGGAAGCGCGGTCGTTGTTAATCCGGGCCACGGCCGATCCGGCATGAAATTTTGTGATTTTGTATTGAACATGATGTTGGATTGGGTAGCTGCTTTTTGTTTAACCGCTATCCAAACAACCTGCCTGGCATGGTAGACCTCAAGAGACATAAGTCTCAGCCAGTATAGCTTGAATAGATCATTGCGGTGTTCAAGCCCGACCACCACGTCAAGGTAGCAACTTTCGGTCGGGGTTGGCCGTTGGACAGAAGTCTAGTGGCTGAATGGCCTGTGAGATTGCCTTGTAATTGGTAGTTCATGGTTTCGAACTCTGGTGGGTGTGTACTCCTAAACAGTCCCTAATCAGAACGAAACAGCTGCCCACTAATCCCTGGTTTTCCAATGGAACTCTGATCAATCGCTTTAAAATAGACTTTCAGTAAACAATGTCTTCCTCCACCTAACTATATTGGATTTTAGAAATTTCGCTCTGTTGCATTGTACGGCATGACTGCGAGTCAATGCACGCATTTTGATCGCTGGATCTTTTCCTATATCACTTATTCTAGTTGGGTTTGTCTGTCTAAGCTTTTAAATTTAAGTGTTCTAACTGATATTCTAAATCCCGACCGAAAGTTACTACCTTGACGTGGTGGTCGTGCTTGAACACCGAATTGACCTAATCAAACTATACTGTCTGAGACTTGTGTCTTTTGAGGTCCTACCATGCCAGAAAGGTCAACTCCTAGCTTAGTGATAGGGAGTGAAGTGATAGAACATGTTGACCACTTCACCTATTTGGGAAGTTGTATCAGCACCAACGGACTGATTGGCGACGAAATCTCAGCACGGATCCAAAAAGCTCGAGCTACTTTCTCTGACTTACACCATCTCTGGCGTAGGCGTGACACCCGGCTATCAACCAAGGGACGTGTGTACTGTTCAACAGTTCACTCCCTCCTTCTCTATGCCTCTGAAACATGGCCAATACGAGTTGAAGACATGAAAAGGTTGACTGCTTTCGACCATAGATGTCTGCGATCTCTGTCTCACGTTAGGTGGTTTAACAAGGTAAGTAATGTTGACGTTAGGCGTAGAGTGTTGGGCAAAGAGGGAAAACCAATCGACGAGGCTATAAAGTTACACAGATTGAAATGGCTAGGTCACGTGCTGCGCATGCCTAACCATCGCCTCCCCCGACGGGCATTACTAGCTGATATAGGTGCACGTTGGAAAAGAGTAAGTGGTGGCCAAACAAAAACATGGCCTCATCAATCCATGAAATCCTTGACAGTTAAACTGAGTCAGGTAGGGAGATGCAGACTCCCGGGTTGGGGCCCTCGGGACTCTAGGAATCAATGGCTGGAGACAATAGGTGACATGGCTCAAAATCGTTGTCAATGGCGCAAATGTATTCAGTCTCTGTAATCTTTCATATTCCTTTCTACCATTACCCATTCTGTTTCACTCGTATACTTGTCAAACTCTACTGATTCTCTTCACTCATCTTCTTGTCTACCTTTGTGTGTTATTTGGAACGCGGCAACTCGCACTACTGCACTTCGGTGCCAAGTTCTATGTTGAATCCTGACAGACAGATATTCTAAATGGCCGGATACTTTGACCCATGTACTTTACCTAAAAATCACTACAAAGTACTTTGATAAATCAATCTGTTTTGTCTATTTGTTACTATAGGATGTAGTTGCTTCCTGACATCTAGTATGATATAGTGCTATACACCCTCTCATTTGACTAGACAGTATTTAGCTAATTTAAATAATATGTCTGTCTGTGGTAATCTATTTAAGAAAAGCACTGATAGACCGGACTTCAAATGATCCCATCATAGAATAATTTTTATCTGATATGACAAAACTGATGACGTATTATTTAATGAGAAGACATTTCGAGCAGAATCCATTGCTGACAGTTATATAAAGCTGTTCACATAGCTTTCAGACTCTGCTTATATTGTTCCATTATTATTATTTTATCCTTTAGTATTAGAGAGAATAAAATTTGCACTTCGGTTAGAAAATGAATCTTGAGTTTAGCTATTTCAGATTATTAATTTAAAAGTATACAAGAAGGAGAGTGTATCACTGGAGCTTACAAAAAACAGACACTTACAATCCAATAGACACTCATATACTTCAGATCATCTCATTCGTCATTGGTAAAAGCAGGTTTAGTTATTTATTAAGCTGCTTTAAAGACTATCCAACGAAACAAACTCACAATAATTACGTATTCAAAAAAAGAGGTTTAGTAAATTTTGATTAATGTGTTGAGTTCGTTTTGCCGAACATTGCTTGATCACTGGAGAATAATAATAATCAGTATGATGTGCCAGTCTTTCGTGTTGCTGTTGGTGACTGAATCTTAATAGCCAAGTCGTGAGTACTGATCATGTGTTCATCGATCTAGAGGACTAATCACTGTAGTGTACACTTTTGTCATTTCTAGTCACGTGAACCAAATATGTGCTTAAATTAGATGACTGGTGTGGCTGCTGGTATAAACTTTACAGTGACGCTAGTATATATATATATATATATATATATATATATATATATCACTTTTATGTTTGACAGAAAGTTAATTTTCAAAAGCTATTTTGTAGGAATTTAATTCTTTTCAAGTTTGACCACAGATTCATATCAGTTAGTGAACCATGGAGATTAAGCAGGGAGTATTGGGCGGCTTTCTCCATTGAGGTTAGCTTGGAATTCATCGGAAGTACTCACCCACTGGTGTTTGAACCCAGGGACTTCCGGTTACAAGGCAGTCGAGTCCAAACGACTGGATGGCCTGCTAGCTTGCCTTGTAACCGGAAGGTCTTGTGCTTTAATCCCAGCGAGTGTGTAATGCAGGTAGTACTAGTTGGGTTTTACTTATCTGTCTCTAAAGTGATGGTAATTTATTTCATTTTGTAAGTGGTATCATATGGCAACAGTAAAGAATAGATACCACTATCTAGTGACCTTGAACTGACCAATGATATACTTCTAGTGCAAAAGTGGCATGTGCTTCCTAAAAGAGTGTCTATAGATATATACCATTCTAAACCGTTTTTTCACATATGCCCAGAACCCTTGTGAACAGAATCTTTATGAGTAGCCGTTATGGGATACACTAAGTTTGATGAATGACTGACCTTATGATGAATATAACCTAATGATTCATAATCACATTCCTGAGCATTTCAAATCGATGCTGTCGATAATCTTCGTTGCAAGTTCAACCCTAACCTTAACCATAACTATATCTTAATCTCACCCTGACTCTAACCCTGAATTAGGGTAAAACTTGTAACGAAGATTATAAGCAGCATTCATTTGTAATGTTGATCAGTATGATTAGTTGGTTCAAAGTCATTTGGCTGTGATATCTATCCTCCTCTCTTGCCTCATATATATATATATATATATATATATATATATATATATATATGTAAACACTTTGAGAATATTTATTTTCTGTTTCAGGTTTTGTCCAGATGTCATTTTATTGAGGTAAGTAACTTTAAAAATGATTTATGAGGTATTTTTGTGAACAACTGTAGAAATTAAATGAGTTAAGAAGATTCTTTAGCAAACTAATTTATAATCAAAGTAAATGAATTTGACAGAGAAAATGTATGCATATCAGCAGTAACAAGATTCAAATTCGAATGCATCTTCACATTCACAACAAGCTAATCTATCTACTCTAGATGGAGGTGATGAAAATATGTAACTAGCAACAACTAGCATTCTGATCGAAATTAACAGGATGAATCTAAAAGAAGTCATCACTTCCAGTTACTCAGCTGCACAACATCGTTTCAACTACGCATGGTAGGCATGAACGTGGATATGAATAGGAGCCACGATCGAGAAATAGAGACAGACATTCATCACTCCTAAATCACTGTGGAGGTCCACAATACTGTCCACAAGAAAATATCCCAATTTTCAACAGTAACGTCAAGTCAGTCCTTACATCTGATCCAGACTTTTGGCATGAATGTCACGAAGAACATTTCCAGCAGGCTACTGACAACGTTGTCTCGATTAATAAGACCAGAGTGTCAGTCGGCAGGCGAGAAAGGAGGAGCAACAAAGGACCCTGTCAGTCACCGATCCAACCAATAATCCGTAACCCAACAAATATATAGAAAGCGGTGGATTAAGGATACGTTGAAGGAACGATCGGGTGACGTTACACACTATGCTCTTGAGTGGAAAGCATCAGAGTGTGACATGAAGGTGATTATGCTAATTGAAAATGAAAGCATTTTGGAATTTGTGAAGCCAGTTGAAAATTTGAATAAAGCGAGGACAACAGTGATCTGTGCAGAATAACATGGTACCATCATTTATTTCGTTGGCTTCTCATCAGCTGCTTACAGCCTAAATAAATTTTGAGGTTTAAGTACAGAAATGTTTTAACATACTTGCAAATTTTACATGTTGTCAGTTGACAGAAAGTTTCACAATTAGTAGACAGTGCTCAGAAAATTGCGCTTATATAGTTTTTATACAGGCAGTTCAAGTTAAAAAATAAATGTATGCATATAATGGTAAGGGAGTTACATAATAAAGATGGGATGTGCGTTAGATGCATAGTGACTAATAAGTTAGGTAAACAATGTACTGAGTTGAACTCAAATCATAGAAACAAAAGACAAGCAAAATTACAGAATATAAAGGAGGGTGAGGTTAAGTACAAAGATTACGCAATCAGATGAGAGAAAAAAGACATCTAGTTACCAAGGCAAAGGAAGACTAACAACTGATTCTTTTTGAACACATAAATCTGGTTTCAAGCGTTTGATAGAAATTGCTTCGGCAAACTTGAGGAGAATGGAGCTCCTTTATCTATTGATAATTTTGAAGGATTTCTCGATTTCCACCTCATGACCCGTGTCGAGGAGATGTCTGGTAATAGCGCTACTATAAGAGTTTGTTCCCTTGAGACGTAGGCTTTTCGGCACATGTTCAGAAAATCGGAGGTGTGCCCTTCTTTCTGTTCTCCCAATGTAACTGCTCCCGCAGATACACATAAATTTGTATACACAGTTGGAGTTAACATGAGAAGGGTATCTATTGACTTTTGACTGCACCAAAGAGCACGTTGTTCGATGGACGGGAACCAACTTAGCTGCAGGATAGGCTCTGGCTAATGGCGTTCTCAGTCTTCTGTTGACCATTTCCGCAATGTTTTCACCTTTAAAATCTAGTTGACTGAAGACAGGCTTTTTTCAATTGTGAATCGTTTGGTATTTGAGCCTTCACATCTTCCATATCTGTTAATGAATCTTTGAGGATAACCGTTGTTTTTCAACACCTTTTCGAGATTCGTAAATTGTTCCTTTAGTTTCTGTGCAGAACATATTTTCCTCGATCTATAGTACAGAGTCTTGACTAGTGCTCGTTTATAGCTATTTGGACAAAAACTATTAAAATGTAAGTATTGTCCATTCCATGTGGGCTTTCGGTAGATTGACCTCTGGAGACTACCATCTTCTAGGCGTTGCATGGTAACGTCAAGGAAATGAAACTGTCCATCATTTTCATATTCCATAGTAAATACAATATTTGTATGTGCGTTGTTGAATAGTCTGAGTAGGTAGGAGGCATGACTTTCGTTGTTGCATACTACAAATGTGTCATCGACATATCATTTGCACGCTTCAGCTTTGTTCTTTCAAAGTTTGACATAAAGATATCTACTGAAACAGAGCTAAGTGGACTGCCCATAGCTACACCATCTATTTGTCGGTAAAGAGTGTTGTCAAACTGGAATTGTACACCCATGGTACACATTAGCAGTAGGCGTTTGAATTCTGGTTCTGGGAGTGGGAGAAGATCAGACTGTTGACAAATGATCTCAATGGTTTCATTGATTGGGATCATTGTGAACAAGGAGGTCAAATAGTCAACTTATAGTTTGTTAAGTCGTTTTGGTTTTTCGGGTTGCGTATATGCCTGTGAGAGTGTGACTCTTTATTCTGCAACTGCTGATCAATTTTAATGACGGCTTATTTGTTTGTCAATCTACATATTATCATTATTTTTTTTATTATTTTCTTATTAGTTCTGAAGTTATTTAATCAAATTCCTAAATATTTAGTGGGACCTACAAGTGATGTCTAAGCAGTCATAGATTCGCCTACACTAACAGCTGTCGAATTCCTCCTAAGACTTCTGTGACGCCAATAGCCTAGATATAAAAAGGTTTACCACAAGTTAGTATGCACTAAGGTGGACTATTAATAACGTTGGAGCACTAATAAAAGATAAATAATCACTGTACAGATGTTTATGTTGGGTTTCAGGTGTGGTGAATTAATGTTTACTTTGTATAATAGTAGCCTTATGATGTTGTTGTGTTCTTTCACATTTGTTTGGTTAAATTCATAAGCTTTCATTGTGTTGCGAGAACTTCTCAAGTGTGAAGTTAGCCTACAAAGTCGTTATCTTAGCAGTATTATTGAGTACTTCTCAATTATAAGCCATCTAGCTGAAAACAAACACGACAAGATCGAAAATCACCTAACTGAAACTACAAATTTTCTCCATCATAACATGACAAAACTTGCGGTGAAGATGTTGTCCAGAAGGATGACGAAAGTCCCCTCGATTAAACGGACCGGCTCAGAGAACACAATAATTTCGCATTTCCAGAATACATTTTATGCTTCAAACAAAGCTATGAAGTCATTATTAGCTAAATACTGTCTGTATACTGTTTAGAACTGTTATAATTATCTCTGGACTAAAATTTCAAAATTGACTCTAAAGACTCTAAAATATCAGCATTAACTGGTTTAAATGAGAAATTGACTCAAATTGGAGTAAATGAAGGAAGCTTTCATCTTTGAGTGATTTTATCATCTCTCAATTAGTATTATGGAAGGAAATGCCACTTAATTTACCAGTCCTAGAGTGTTTTCTATGCTCACTTGAACTCCCGTCTTCACTGATTCTTCTGTCGGCTTGTTAGTTTTCTCTTGTAAATTTTCTGGTATTTCAGACATAAGACACAAATCACTCCAGAAGTGCCAAAATTCCCAGGGTCACTTTTTCTTCACAACGTTCTCAATCGATATTCATCGGAAAAACAATAAAAGTTAAGAGATGCTAGGCAGATATAGTATTCTAAGACCTATACATTAATACTCATTATTAACTATCTGAATAATGCAACTAAGAACCATTGTGTTTTACTACAAACACGTTACTATCAAATCACTGAGGATAAAAGAAGACTGCCACAAATTCCTCTCACTCATTTTTTCTGGTCTCCTGACTGGCAGTGTGGTCTTCTCTATCGAAACAAAAAAGGTGGCTTTTCATAAAAGTCTGCAGTAGCCTGTGAGAAATACTCTCCGTGACACTATTGCCAAGTTTTGGCGACACCTACAAGCACTAACTTAACATTACTGCTGAAAATACGGACATTTTCTTGTGTTCAGTGGTGCCAGTCTCCGAACTGATTTAATAGTGACAAGTGACCGTCACTCTTTCTCGATATTGGCTGGTATTCAGATCCTCATGTGTGCTTCCTACACGTAGTTGCTTACGGCTCTTAAATCTTCGGATATTTGAGGCATGAGACATAAATCACTCAGAAAGCCCCGAAATTATTAGGGTTATTTTGTTGCCACAGTGCATCTCGATTAATCGGGAATATAATGAAAAAGATACTACAGATATATAGTAATGTATTTTAAAACCCATCCAGTAATAATACCCAATAACAGTTGTCTGAAGAATGCAACTAAGAACCATTGTGTTTTACTACAAACACGTTACTATCAAATTATTGAGGATAGAAGAAAAATAATAAATCATAAGTGATTCTCAGCTGATTTTGATAAAAACTTCCCAAATGCATTATTCTACTCCTTCAATTAATGTCCGTTCTGATGAGGAATAGACAGTCATGAAGAAACAGTCGTCTGGATGAGGTATAATAATAATAATAACTGCTTTCTGCCAAAGGTATAATTTCCAATAGTCCTACAGGCAATATGCCCTTCTAAGTGGAATTTAATTTCACACTATTATATACCTAAACTCAAAAAATTCCTGAAAGAACTGATGATGACCAATACAACTGAAATTAGTCCATTACCAACAATTTTAGAGTAAAAGGGAATCAAATGATCAGGTGAAAATGACGTAGGTCAGCATTCTGAGCCGAAATAGTTCAGAAAAGAGTCTACTGCACGAAGTGAGTAAATATACGACTAGTACCACCACTACTCATAATACTTCTACCACCTGTACACAAACGGCACTACACAATTCAAAATACAGCAGCGTCAGTTCTATTGAATTTATGTGTTACAGTCTAAATCCATAACTGAAATGACCTGGTTTGAAACTTTACACATATGCGGTCCACTTTGACTAGGAAACGTCAACTAGCCAACAGAATACCCGTAGTAACATGATCAGATGAAGTTCATGCAATGCATTCCCTTGATAATCTTGATCAATATCAATGAGAGCAGTTTTCACAG